CTGAGCTTTAAGCAGAAGGGCCTTACAGCACACACCCTGCCTGGACAGAGGCTTTGGTGTTTGTGCCTCATAGTCTGACTGGCAGCTAATAAGTTTTTCAAGGTAGTAAACTGCATTTTTCAAACCATAGTTGATTTCACTAAGCTTTTGTTCTTAAGCAGCTCTTTTATGTTGAGCCAGTTTCAGTCACTGACCCTAACTCTGTGTGGGATGTATGTTACCAACCTGACTTGCTGTGAGGGAAGTAAGGTGGTTTCAGAGAGATGTCAAGCTGTTCTGATTCTGTTTCTTTGACTTCTGCCCTTAGTACCAAGCTCAGGGTTGTCTTTTTCCCCCTGAAACTGTGGACAGAATGTAGCTGTTTCTAAGGTTAGTCTAGGTTTAAAAATATATAAATAACTGTGTCAATTACCTAAAGGCTGGATTCTATGAGTATAAAAATTCCAAGCGTCCCACAAACAGCAGATAATGAATATTTACTTTTTGTAAGAGGTACCATTAAATGCACAAAATACGTAACTCTAAACATTTTTAATTAAAAACTAGAATATTAGATTTTAGGTGTATCTGTACATAAGAACTTTTCTGATAAAAAGTGAAAAAAATTATTATTTTCCATTTTTGAAAAAGACAAGCTTCTTGACATCTTCCATGCTAGTACTGACACTGGGGCTGTATGGAATGAATTTCAGAAGCTGTTGCAGACAAGTCTCCTACATCCATGTAGACTTTTTTTGACCTTATTGAACACAGCAAAATCTTCATCCACACAGATGTCCACAAGATACAGCAACTGAGAATAGCTTTTCCCTGCTGTGTAGGGTTGTCCTTCTACTTCTTCTCTACTTCTTCCTTCTTAAAACACTTACTTATGAATCCCTTTTAGTTATTACTACTTACATATATCTATATGTTCTCTGCTGTCTTTATGTAAACTGGATTACAGATGCTTAACATCTGAATTCTTACTAGGTTCTTTTTTCTCTGGAGCACTGTTGAATTTGTCTCAAATGTCGATTTAGGAAAGCCTCTTTTACAGACCAAAGGCTGGTAGTAGGTTGGGAGTTGTTTCTCAGTTATATTGCTAATTTGCATTAAGTGTATGTAATTCTACTACTACTACTTTGAGGAAGGAAGGGAAGGAAGTGTAAGTGTTGTGTCCATTGATCAGAGTTTGGAAATGGTTCAGAATTCAGGTGTCTCCATCACTAGCAGGAAGGTGGAGGAATTTCTGCATCTTATGTTTACTATCCATAGGCAGAAACTTAAGGATGAGCGTTGTTTTACTGGAAAACATGGTCAGCTGAAAAAGACAGATGCATGTGCTGCTTTCATATTGTCTGAAAAGTGAGGATATAGCATAAACTCTTAGAGTAGGACATAATGTCCTACTTCTGTGTGGTGCTCCTGCATTCAATTAGAGCTTTGTCATTGCTCATTTCAGTGGTCCCAGATCCTGACAGTTAGAGCAGACATTGGCAAACTACAGCTTATTAGTTGCTTATGGATCCTGCAAGTCATCCTGTCATTCTGAGGGTTTTGCAACTCCATTTAATTTTCTCCTTGAAGTTATCAGTGACATTAGAAATGGAGCTTGGCAGATACTCCATGTGGGTGGTTTTTACTGTACTTGTTTTGTTCAGTCACTGCTTATAATTCCGTTTATTTAAGAGCTCTCTGCTCCTCTCATCCATAACAATATCTCAGCATCTTATTCCATTCCTTTTTATCACCAATGCTGTGGCCACTGTTTTTCTGGCAGGAGAGACCTGAGGTGGCATGAATGATCTTGTGAACATGTTGCCAGCTAAAGCCTTAAGAGGGAACTACCGATGTTGTCAGCTGAATCCTTAAAACGAACTACTGATGTTAAATGTTATGACACTTCCCTATTTTTTGTCAATGTAGGGTATTTCTACTGCATCACCAGCTTATGGAGAGAAAGGACAAAAGAAAAGAGAATTTAACAGAAGTGTGTTCTGTTCAAGTATAAACATGGTAATAAATTGAGTACATTAGAAAAGCTGCATAAAAGTTATCGAATGGAAAACTTGTATTTAACCATATAATGTGAAATATGGAAATATCTTTTAGTACATGAAAGTATATTGACCTTTTCTTAAAGGTTGAGTTGTAATAAATGTACTTCTTAAAATAATTTTAAGATTTAAGGTAATATACTTTATTATACTTTCAAGAAATAAGGCACATTTTCAGCATAAATATCCATACTTGGAAAGTTACTCCAGAACCAAGAGATAGCAGCACTTGCTCAAAGAACCTGGAGCTGAAAGCTGGTGCCCTGCTACTGGGAATGTGTTCTAAGGTCTGTACATAATGGACTGGATCCTCTGTTGGCACAGGACACTTGGGTGTGCTGAGTCACTTGTTGGTGCAGTGGTAAACACAGGCAAAGAGTAGGATGGATACAGGTGACAATAAGATTTCACAAAGGAAAAATACCTCCTTCCTTGATCAAGAGCATTTTGATGATTCTTTCAGGAAAAAAAACATTCTCCTGTAAACCACACTTTTAATTCACAACCACCTTTTTACTTAACTTTACAAAAACATGCTAAATAGTATAATTAGCTGGAAAAGTACTGCTTTGTTTCTAGAATAAGTGTAGGTAGGGAAAAGAGAGATGAAAAGCTGAAGTGTTTAAAGAGGAAGGCACTAAATCCTTTTGCTTCACAGAATAAGCACACATAGCCAAGTCTAAAATATTTTCTGTTTCGTGCATTGTCAGCTTTACACACACATACAAATGTGCATGTTTAAGAACAGTGAGCAAAAGGAAATAGAAGTTGAGAAATCTTTTCCTTTTATAATTTGAGACGCATGTACATGTCCCCTGCTAACAAACCTGCAACTAGTTATGAGTTATGTTTAATTTAGTTTGAAATTTGCAATACCAACAATGAAAAATCAGGGTAACCAAAAGGATTAAGTCCTTGTTTGAAGTAGATAAGTACCTCTTTTTAGTGTATTAGATAACAATTTAAACAGTTAGATAACTTAAATCATCTAGTAGGTTTGTATTAGTAGTTATGAGATAGACCATTGAAGGAAGGTGAGTCAATTCTTTGCTGTTTTAATTTCTTACCTTAAGAAGTAAAAGTAGGAGAATCAATTGCCTGTGAATATTAGAATTCTGAATAAATTATTGGAACAAGAGGACCTGCTTCTATTTTCCTATGTACTTCTGGGCATTCAGATCCTGGTCTCCATCTTCTTCCTTCCTACTTATCAGCCTATACCATCCTGTCCAGAATTCCACACCACTGGTGGAGTTTGTTTTGCAACAAATTCCATTATAAAATATAGGAAAACAACAAAACGACTTTCTATTCAATGCGAGAACTTATCTCATTCTCAGCTTTCTTTCTCTTATTTCTGGAAATAATCCTATTCAATTTTAATAATAACTTATTCTCTTCCAGGCTGGATCTAATAATTGCATAGCCTAGTCATCAAGCAACTGGGATATTCTGTTACACAGATAATCTACCCCCAACAGCGTTCTAGCAATCCTGCTTACCTTGTGAATCACTCCAGTATCAGTTCCTCAGAGCTTCCCAGAACAACAGCTGTGGGCTTGAGGTCTCAGACAACATTGTGTCACTTTATTTTCTTGAGATGACTTTGGAAATCTTTGAGACAAACTGCTTTATCCACAGTTCTCATTTTTGTGTGGGCAGTTGTGTGGTGTGTTCATATCTGAGGACTGAGCTTCTGCTTTGCTGCTTGTGTTGCTGTTCCTTTCTTGGTTCATGCACTGACTGTATTTTCACTAAATTAAGCCCTTTTCTTCAGCCTTTCTCACTTGTTGCTCCTTCCCAGGAGGATCAGAACTAGATACAGAAAGTCATGAGACCTAAAATATCCATTCCAATTGTTATCTTGTGCCATTATCTCAATGTGTCCACCAATGGGGGTTGATCATGTAAATCTCTAGAAATACTCACAAATTCTCATATGCTTCTCAAAAATTTGAATAGCTTTAAAATTGACCTCAAAGGAGAGGACAAGGACTGACTCAGTATTTTGGAAATTATTTTAAAAGAACCAAGGGGCAAGTTAAAATTATAAAGTAATTTTGTACCACCTCAAATTGACTGTTGAGGACTTGCACTCTCTGCTTAACTCAGCTGTAAAATTTCTGCTGGCTGTATTGGAATCAGTGGAAAACTGACTTTAAGGAAAGAGACTGGTGACTGTAAAAGGCTTAGTGGTAGATTGATGCTAGGGAGGGATTTCTATGCCTGAATGTGGGAGCTCAGTTGCACAGATAATCTGGAGTGATTAAACTTTTTAGAACAGGTGAAAAGGTGGCAGACAGATATGTATTTATCCTGTCAATAAAAAGTGCTGCAGGCTATCATTGTTCTGTAGCTAATTCATAAACATATTAGTTAGGCTATAGTGTGTGTTGCACAACATAAAATATATCCAGAAAAAAACCAAACAAACAAACATAAAAGCCCTGCAATTGGATTCTTATAGAAAAGAATCACTTACTATTCTTACCAAAAAAAAAAAAAAAAGGGTGGGGGCAGAGAGGCACAGCACACACTTCTTTAGGAACTTACATGCAAATTCATTAATAAATGCTCCTGAGTAGTAAACTCTTGTCTGCCTTGCTCTAGAAGGCAACAAGAATTGGAGGGGAGAAATAAAACAACAACTAAAACCTAAACCTAACAGAAAGTATACACAGAGCTCAAGTTCTAGATTAAAGTTAGGGTTTGGGTTTTGATGGGGTTTTTTTACAGTTTCTGTCTGGTGATCCCAGTGGAGGTACAATCTCCTTTGCTACTTTGTTTCTACTTGTTGCTCCTTCTGCGGCTGAATTGATGAGGAACAAACCCACTATACAGTAACAGCTTGTTTTAATGGGGATTTTCACAGCTCTCTGGAAACATCAGTTCCTGTAACAGATATTCAGTTGGTTTTGAAAGTAAATACTTAATTGTATTTCTTTTAAAAAATGTTTCAGGCATATGGCTCTGGTTGTGACATTGTTATTCTGGCAGATGACTTTGAATGTGTGCAAATTATTCCTGGTGCTAAACATGGAAACATCCAGGTCAGTTGTGTGGAGTGCTCCCAACGACAAGGCAGGGTAAGGATCTTAATAAATCTGTAAAGAATTTTTTAAAAATTGAATAAATTAAATAATTAAACAGCAACATAATACATTAATAGAATTAAAGAGTCAATTTTATGGCAAAGATTACGTTTTACTAATCTGTGACTTTCAGAGTGTGTGTTACTCTATGAATTCTTTCAATTTAATAGTGGGTGGGGCAGGGAAAGGGAAGGGGGTAGAGAAAGCAGAAGTCATCTTGTAACAATGATTTTTACTCCTTTCTGGGACCTGCAGTCACAGGTCTGTATTTAAATATTAAAAATAGAATTACATTTCTTGCTGTTTCTTGTAACTATTATTTAGTGATTTAGTGATACAAGATGGGATCTAGGAACACGCAGAGACACAGACACTAATAATTAATGCATTAGTTAGCTGTGAAGTAGACAGAGCATGAGCAGAAGCAGTGAAGGCATCAGCTTTCCCTTATACATGAACAGCAGTTGCCCTAGAAGAATATTCTCTATCTGATTGACAGTGTTTATGCCGCTGAACAAGATGCTTAGAGTTAAAATCTTAAAGGTGGGCTTATTCAGAAGTATGTATTTCTTAACTGCCTTAAGAAAATATACCTATAACAGTTAATTACATTTGTATTAATTTCACTTTTCTTGAGCATGGCACACAGAAGTAGTACTGGAAATTCTTCAGCTATTTTGGAATACTAAGGAACGCTTATTCTGCTTACCTCCTAATCATTCATTTGGAGTCTTCAACTTCTTTTTTTTTTCCCTCCCCCAGATTGCAGCATCATATGGAAATGCTGTTTGCATTTTTGAACCACTTGGTATAAATTCTCATAAAAGAAATTGTGTAAGTATGTATTTCATAATTGTAATTTGGTCTAGACTCTTAGAAGAAGTAGAAGTCTGGCTTTTATTAAATTATGTTGGCACACCAAAGATAAATGGATAAACAATTTTCCACCATTCCTAATAAAATTGGGTGGGCAGAATCTTCCACTGCATGACTTGGACTGTGGGCTGCACTTCTCCTAAGTTCACAACATCTTGTTTTTGAATCTCATACTGGAATGACATGGTGAGAAGTTGGTAAAACTTAACAAAACTGGATTTAGCACCCTACCACTGATTGTTTTTGCAACAGGCTTAATAGCAATTTCTTAGAGAAAGAAGTGTGTTTTGCTGTTGATATGAGAATTAATCCTTTACTGTTTTTAAACTACAGCAACTGAAGTGTCAGTGGCTTAAAACTGGGCAATTCTTCCTCAGTTCTATGACTTACAACCTGGCATGGGATCCTCAAGGTAATGCACAGCTTGTTCAACATTTTTAGTTAGAACAACTTGGACACAAAATATTTTTATTGTAACAAAGTGAGAGCATGAATATGGAAATATTAGATTACCTGTTTTCAGGCAGTGTTGCATAAAATGTGAGGCTACAGTTAAGATTTGTTAAGATACTGTGCCAAGTGTTTTTTTGAGTCTCTTATGCAAGATCCTGGTTTGGGAATCGCAGTGTTAAATTGCTAACTGACTTAAATTACTAATAATAATCATTTAGACAGAATTCTATCATAATTAAAGTCAGCAGTGTGCCCAGACACAGATCTTTATAAGATGTTTGTGTATTTATTTGAGGTGTGAATAGCTATTTAGCATCTGCAATATTCATTAGTAAATATGATTCTGTGATTCAAAGTCACAAAAAACTCCTTGATGTTCTTTCTTAAAAGGTATTATAAGTTAAAAATGTTTTGATAAAACCAACTGTATAATTTGATTGAATACCCTATCATATTTAAAATGGACTTGATAAAATTTAGTTTTCAATCTGTTTTGAATAATTTACAACAAAATGTGATGATAGGCTTCGTCTTTGCATATCCCTTCATCATCTTGTTTGTTAGCTTTGTTATTTCTCACTTTCAGGTAACAGGCTGCTGACAGCAACTGACTATTTGCAATTGTGGGCCCCTCCATCTAATGACATTCTAGAAGAAGATGAAGATGATGATCCCAACAATCAGATCAAAGATGATAAAGTTCTCCCAGTTCTAAATGACTGGAAATGTGTCTGGCAGTGCAAGTGAGATAATTTTTATTCTAAGACAAATTGCAATTCTACCTCACATATCAGCAATATCTTCTCTCCAAAACTGTATTTTTAAATGTGCTGTTAAATATCATAAAATTCAAAGAATATAAGTCACTCCAAATAAGAAATCCTCACTTTTTCAAGTGATCTATCATGAGATGGTTGAATAAAACCTAATCAAAGGCTTATCCAAACTGTACCACTGAAAATGTATCAGAATCATCTGTTTTCTCATCTGTGAGAGTAATGCTGAATATTGGATGAGACTGAGTAGAGGAGCAGTAACAGGCAGATAAGCTACACTGAGAGAGATAAGAGCTGCTTCCTGAATCTTAGGAGAGGGGGTCCTGAAACTTTCTATTTAGTTCTATTGGAGCTTCATGTTACAGAATTGTTTCCTGATCATCCATTTCCAAATATATGCAGACTTGGGAAGTAGCTGCCTCTGAACCTGTTTTCTGTGTAGTTTTCTGAAGCCATTTCAGATTTTACCCACAAAGCACTGCATAGGGAGCTTTCCTCTTAAAGTCATCTGACCATAACCTGTAATCACAAATAGCATCACATTTATGAGAAAGATATTTACTTTCGTTTCTTCCTACTATTCGTCTTGGTTTCACTGGGCGTAGAGGAGCAGGTGGGACAAACTTCACTTCTAGGATCTCATTAGATCTAACCTAGGCTTGCTGTACCCAGGCTTGCTGTACTTAAAACAATTTATTTTATGAGCTGTTTTTCTGTAAAACTGTGAAAATACTATTTTGTTTCATTATAGCAAATATTTTTATGCTTCTGCTATTTGTAAAGTATGCTTAAAGCAACAACTATAAAATACTAATATATTTCATTTAAATAATGAACAGTAACACTTAATCAACTGAAAACCTATGGAATAATACTCTAGAATAAATAGACCTTACCTAATTTGCTCTTGTGTTCTGTAGGACTGCAACATCAGTACATTTGATGTCATGGTCTCCTGATGGTGAATACTTTGCAACAGCTGGGAAGGTAAGGGTCAAAAAGGATAATTAAATAAGTTTTTGCAATGTTTTGCATTTATTTGACAGAAATAAGTAATATGAATAGTCCTGGACCATACACTCTATTATAGTCTAAGCAAAGGTAAATTATGATCTCATGTGTAATGCTGTGTTTTTGTGGAATTGCATGAATTTCAGAGCAAGAAATTGGATTTAGTTATGTAGTCTTACTGAATATAGTGATACAGACTTGTGTGTGTATATATATACACATATATATTTTTGATAAAGTATACTTAGATGTATTTTTAGATATGCATAAACATATTTTTCTAGTTCTGCTGAAAATAATGAGAATAAATATCAGATCATTATGATAGAACACATACACATTTAAACTAGTATAATATGCAGATGTCTGGATAAATTAGATAAGGTTTTCTATTTAGTGAATTCTGGGTTCAATTGTCAATTCTTAACTTCTATTTCAGTTTGCAATGTTTTTTTGTCAAATCCTTTATTCAAGAAAGGTTTTCAATTAATAATTCTCTTCAATACCACCCTCTCATTCAATGATTCCTGTTGGTTTACAAGTCTGGACAGGTAAGCATATGTTGCTTGCACTTAATCTTAGTTAAACAATGAGATGAATTTTAGTTCTGGGCCAAGTTTTCATGAATGCTACCAGAATGGCAGTTTCCTTATTATTTGAGGTTTTCCTTTTGTAACATTTTGAATTATAGCTAGCTAACCCCGTGGTTCTGTTGCTTTTTCTAGGATGACTGCCTCTTAAAGGTTTGGTATCCTATGACTGGTTGGAAATCATCTCTTCTGCCCCAAGAGAATGAAGAAAAGAGAAGATGCTCAGAGGATGTCCAATTCTCATTTGTTTATTTGGCACATCCTCGAGCAGTGACGGGGTTTTCGTGGCGGAACATTAGCAAGTACATGCCCAGGTTTGAAAGCTTTCTTTTTTTTTAAAAAAAACAAGCAACCTTTGATCAAATTTTTTTTTAATACTCTGATTAACGTTTTGCCATCAAGAACATGACATTTCTCTTCTTATTCTGTCAAGAAACAAGCTTCTGTCAAGCTTCCCATAAGCTTTGGTATTACCTCTTACAGCAGTGATAGTCGTGTTAACATTTAGTTGGGGGAGAAGCAGAAATTGAGATGAAACAATAACTACTCAATACATGTAAACTCCCCTAATTTCTGCTGTGTTCACATAGCTAAATTAATTCCACTGGCAGTAATCTGGATGTGTCTGCCTTAGGGGTTTGGTGTGCAATGTGTTACTCACGTCGTGTCTCGATGGCATCTGTCGGCTGTGGGCAGAGACACTGTTACCAGAAGATACTCTTCTGGGGGAGCAGATCTGTGAAACGAGCACTTCCAGCATTAGCAGCACCGTCTCTCAGTCTGGAAAGCAAAAGGACAAAATACAACAAGCACTAGAGGTACAAGTAAATACTGGATTTGTCGAGTTTTAATTTCAGGATTCTTAAAACTTTAAATACTTAAGGATGTAAAACTCTAAGAATGTGTATTACGTAGTCTTTACGTGCATAATAGAATAGGCTGAATTATTTCGTATCAGTTTTTGAAGTCTGTTACTAAACATTGAAAAAATCTGAGACTGCAACTCTACATTCAAGCTCCATGGTTTTAAAACTCAGTTTACTTTTTCTTTAGCTAACTAACAGTGATGGGAAGAGACAATGATTAATATGGAATAGTAGTGATAGTTTCATTCTGATTGGGTCTGAAGGTCTGTAATTATAAAAACAGTGGAAGGAGTAAATAAACTCTTTGAACTTTTAGTTACCTCGTTTCATAATTGCATTTCAAAAAAATGGTATTATGGGGCTCTAAATTTCGTTTCAGTGGCAGTTTTATCAAGACTATTAAGTTTACAGTAAGAGAAAACCTGTGAATATAAAAACAAGAAAAGAAAAGAAAACAGTCACCCCTTATTTGTAACTATTACAGTCAGACCAAGGTTTTACTTCTTACATGTCATGGTCATCAACAAATAGGAAGATTGGAATCAAGTACACTTTGGGCTGCTGAAACAGTTGTGCTCTCCACGTGCTCTCAGAAATTCTCAGTTGTACAAAAATAATTCATTATAAAATTATATTGTAAAAGTTACTGTTTTTAGATTGTTCTAATCTTATTTATTAATGTTATGCAAAATAGTGGGTATTTTTATGTTGTTGTTGGAGCCGATATTAAAGAAATTTCCTGGAGACTGTTAGAAGAGCTTTGCCTTTAGCCAAAAACAATGTACATTAAGTGTTACTAATCTCTGTTGAAATCTATTTAAAATAATCTTTTTGAACTCACTCATCATTTCTTTCGTAGAAGAAACATAAAAAGCTTTAGCTTTACGTAAGTGTGAATTTTTACCTTACTTTTTTTTTCAGTATTTCTCAGTTTATTTTTTATTACTATAACAGACAATTCACCAGTTGAAAAATATGAGAAAAGGACAAAGGAGATCTTCAGTTCTTGTTACCCACACGGATGTGCTGCCAGATCAGCAGGGGACTCACGAAGTTCAGCGTCACATTTCACACCATGCAAATGCACTGGGTCACTTCCACATAGCAGCAAGCATCAACCCTAACACAGGTGAAATACAACCACTTATTAAACTCTAATATATTTGCACAAAATGAAAAAAATAAAGGGAATTGAAATGCACATTCTTTGCTTTGCCTAACTGAATAAAGAGAATTTGTAGGAAGACTCTTATTTCACAAGTCTGTTACTTGGCATAGAGTTTTGTAAGACAAATGAAGCTGAATTTATTCTGAATACCTTCAGCACTTTTACAAGACAATTAAATTCATTTTTGCATGTCAGAAGGAAAAGAAACCTAAATTTCCAATTTGCTTGGTGTTTGATTCTTGGGTTTTGGGAGCCCATGGTATATGATGAATAGAGTAATTGTATTCTACAGAATATATAGTAGGGTTTTATAGAATATTGCATAATATTTTAAAAAATCTGTACATGAATGACAACACTGCGAAATATGAAACTGAGCAATTAGGCCTGTTGAATATCATTTACCATTCACATAAAAATAAATTTTCATGTAAATTTATTGCCATTAAAATACCTTTACTTTTTTTATTACAATTGCATGTAGAAACTTGATCTGTCACCTGCCTATTCTAATCTTATGGGCACAAATGATGTTATACCGAAAATAAGTTAAATGTGTGTATATATATATATGTATAAAAGATAAGCAGTTTAATATATAGCTTTTTTATTTGTTTTAAAATGTCCACAGATATTCCATCAGTCTTGGCTGGAACAGCTTTTAATATAGATGAAGGAAATGGCTTCGTTGTCCACTGGTTGAATAATAAAGAATTTAGTTTCACATCCTCCATTGAAGTATTTATGCAGCATTTAAGAAAAATTTCTGAACAACAACTAGAACAAGATTTTGATGTTGAAGTTGAAGAGGAAGAAGAAGTGGAAGAAAAAGAAAGAGGTTTACATATGAAATTAGACCATGGTTAGTTCTTATCAGATTGTCCTGCTCACAGGTTAAAAATATATTGTGTTTTGGATGGAAAGTGATGGAAAAATCTTTGCAATGGATAAAATGGCACAATTCTTTTCTGTTGCAGACTTGTCTATAGACAGAGAATCAGAGACAGGAACTGGTACAGGCTCCTCAGAACATGAAGATGGAGAAAGAGAGGGAAGCCCCAAAACCTCCCTGCTGGCAGGGCCACGAATGCCTCTTCCAACGGTTTTGTTAGATCGGAAAATTGATTTGCTCCTGACGGAATGGAACAGGAATCCAGACATGCTTTTTACTATCCATCCTGTTGATGGGACCTTTCTGGTGTGGCATGTGAAATATTTAGATGAATACAATCCAGGCATCTTCCGACAAGTTCAGGTATTATATATTTGAGATGGTTTTATTATTTATGATCTTAATCAACAAACAGTGTGTCCTTTCATACATCAATATGAATTTAATTAAGTACTTCCTGAGTTTGTATATTCTAATTTTTTCCTTTTTTATTTCTTTTTTAGGTTTCATTTTCTTCTAGGATTCCTGTTGCATTTCCCTCAGGAGATGCTAGTTCCCTTAGCAAAAATATTATGATGTATGCTTGCCCTATCTTTGTAAAAGATGCCAGTAGTGCTGCACAACAGAAGACAATGGACTTTCCAGATAATACTCTAGCAAGTAAAAGCTTTTCCCGGGACAGTGCAAATGTGAATATAATTTCTCCCATAGTAATGATGATTTCCAAACATATAGATGGCTCTCTAAATCAGTGGGCAGTTACTTTTGCTGATAAATCAGCCTTCACTACTGTACTCACTGTATCCCATAAATTTAGGTACTGTGGACACCGCTTCCATCTCAATGATCTTGCTTGCCATTCTGTGTTACCTTTGCTGCTCACATCTTCTCACCATAATGCTCTGTTAACTCCTGAGTCAGACAGTTCCTGGGACTCTGACAGGATAACCAGAATGATGGATCCCATCAAACATAAGAAAGGTTCTTCTAAGCAGCAACTTAAAAACGCAGCAACCCGTACATTCCATGACCCAAATGCCATCTACAGTGAGCTGATTCTGTGGCGTGTGGACCCCATAGGGCCTTTATCCTACACTGGAGGAGTGTCTGAATTGGCTCGAATTAACTCTCTCCACACCTCTGCTTTCTCTAATGTAGCCTGGCTTCCAACACTCATTCCCAGCTATTGCCTTGGTGAGTATATGTGGCATGTTTCTGTATAGGGTTAACATTGGCAGTGCTAGAATTAATTTGTTAAAATAAATTACTATTTTATTTGGACTATGTTTATATTAACTTTTCAAAAATTTCCTGGTATTGTGCAAATCAAGCATTTTTATTTAATTTGAGGCTAAGATATGGCAAAACACTTCCTGTGGTCTGAGTGTGTCTGCAGTCACTGTGGATCAGTTACTGACATTCAGTAACTCCTCTCTGTGACTAAGCACTCATTACTCTCGCAAAGAACAAGATGATGCCTTTCCTCAGAGCTTTAGGCAGCTTCCCTGAGTGTTCTCTGCATTGACACAGTATTAAAAATGCAGATGTTCTTTCTGATGGCTTAGGTGTCTGGGTTGCTGACCACATGCAGCTGCAGGAGGCACTGGGTTGAACAGAATTTGTAGTTGGACCATTTGAACATCAGAATTATCAAGAAAGATTTTCAGCCAAAATCTGCATTATCAAATTCTTTTATCATGCCAACTAAAAATTCTGCTTAGAAGATCCTGAAACAGCACTGAAATTCTTCAGACCATCAAGGGTTTACAAAAGCCCAGTTAGAACACAGAATATTTTTAAATAAATAGACTACATTAACTTTACAGAACTGCAAGCAATACTTTTTCAGATGTCCGACAGTACATCTGATGTGTAATGCCTAGGACAATTCTTTACTTTTTGGTTTTAATTTTGGGGCTTTCCATTGCAGTTAGGAAAACTATCTCATTACTCTATTCAGCCACTCACATACTTATTAACTATCACAAAGATGTTGTTATAGTAGTTGTCATCTTTGTAGACAGTACTAAATGCCATTTGCGCTGTGGATGTAATATTACATTTTATACTAATGCCAGGTGATTTTGTTATGCTCAGGCCAGACTTGCCTTTGCAATGATTAAATGGGTGTCAAAGATGATTTACAATCCAAAAATCCTAAATATGCTAAATATGCTTAATAAATGCATAACATATCTCTGATTTAAAATAAATATATTTGGTTTTCTCTGCTTACATAGTAACATTCTGTGCTGTCTGAGTCCCACACAGTGTTCTAAACACAAATAACGAGCTGCTTTCTTCTAGAGGAAAACGTATATCAGAATAGACAATCTCGTGTCAAGCCTGTCGTATTTGCTGTAGTGAAGCAAAAAATACACAATTTTTCATATGTTATTCAGAACTACAAATCTATTTCTCCCTCTACTTTTATATCTGCACTTTTAACTGCAGGGCAGAAGGAAATATTCATAGAGGTTAATTTTATGGAAAGTACCTAGAGACAATAAACAAGGAAAAAAGCAGTGGCTGATGTAACATTTCTGAGCACTTTACCTTTAGAGTCATACTCTGAATTGTCTCTGACAGCCCCTTCCTTTAGGTGTATTACAGACTGGGCATTGCATGTGTGAACAGTAACATATGTGAATTCAGCTTAGGTTATTGAACTTTAATGAGGAGTTTCATTTACATAAATGAGAAGAAATGGAGTTATTTCAAAGTTAAATAATGGTGTTTTAATACCACATTTGCTTAGGTTTTTTGCTTCAGTACTTCATGAAAATTATATCTGAATCATACTCAGATATTGTGGATTGTAATAGATTACCTGATGTCACTGACTGGCACTTTTTTCTTTATGCATATATTGTGTTTTCTGTCAGGTACATATTGCAACTCTGCCAGTGCTTGCTTTGTTGCATCAGATGGCAAAAACCTCAGGCTCTATCAAGCTGTTGTAGATGCACGAAAACTTCTGGATGAATTATCTGACCCTGAATCATCTGTAAGTTTGTGGCAGTTTGAGCCACATTAGAAATCTAAAATCCAAAAATAGCGTGATTTGAAAGTATTAAAATAAAACTAAAGTTAACTTATTTCCCCCGCTCCCTTCCAGTGGTTTGTCTTCAGTTAGCTGTGTGTGATTTTTGTGCCATTCCATGTACAAGATCTTACCTTGCATAGTTGCAGGTTTTGCACTGTGGGTAAACATTAGCAAACAGAAAGGCAACTGTTGCTACTAATAGTGTCTGGATCGAAACAAAATTTCCCAGACAAGTTTTCCCAACCTGTGGCAGGTGGGGAAAGGAAAAATAGAATTTCTCTCTTTGACTTCTCAAAAGAGGAGCCTAGAGCAAGGGGGAAGGTGAAGGACAGATGAGCAAGACAAAAGTGTATCCACCTAAGTTACATCTATATATGAGGAAGGACAGAGATGATGGAATATAAAGAAATTGGCAGCTTATTGCTAAGGGTAATATTAGCTGTTATTTTTTTTCTGTAAGAAGCAATTTTTCATCCTTTTTGTCTTTAATTTCTGTGACTTTAAGCAAAGTAAAGCCTGACCTTACACTGCTATTGTATAAACACATCTTTATCCCTTTTCCCCCGTTTCTCTGTTCTTTTATAAGCCATCCTGCAAGACAGAGCCTGTCAGCATTTAGATCAGTCTGAGAAATTTGTTCTAGGAGCAATGACTATGAACATTCCAGCAAAAATCAATACAGCCTTCAGCTTATATATGAGCTGTACTCATTTATTTTTTCATATGTGGCAACAAAACCTGAAGCTTGAAAAAGAAATGAATCAATATATTTGTTTCTCATTGCACAGATATTTTATACCGTGTTATGAAAGGATAAATCTTTAAGTAAATAACACTTAGCTTCCATAAAAACTGATGTATCATCCCCATGAGGAGCTGCCAACTCACAACAGTGCGAATGTCTAAACATATTATTCTTGAGTGATAAAGTGACAACAGGAAGAAGTCTGTTACAGTTTCTGCCAGCAAGGAAAATTGAAGCATCAGTTTATCATAAGTGACTGCAGTTTTCTTCTGTCCAAAGGAAAAATACACTAATTTTTTCACATTTTCCTCTGTTTCAGAAACTTATTGGGGAGGTGTTTAATATTGTGAGCCAACAATCAACTGCTCGTCCAGGATGTATTATTGAACTCGATGCAATAACTAACAAAGTAAATAAATGGTTAACTCTTTAAGAGTATCACATAAAGGTGTTTAATACCTTTGTTAATTAACCTAATCTGTTGGAAAGAGGTAAAAGAGGTGACATTTCTTTATGGTGATAATGACTGTGTTGAATTTCTGTGAATATTGAGATACTTTGAACATTTTGGTAAGCCAACTTCCTGTTAGCTGCTAAGAGCTCAAAGCTCATTTTTAGAGTTTGACAATATTTTCTAAGCATAATTCTTGATGAAAACAAAACTCAACTAAAGACTGTTTTCCAAGCCATCATAATTTAAAGGAAAATAATTACAATCCCCTCAAACCCAAACAAACAACAACAAAAAAATAACAACATTAAAAAGCCCAAACCTAAAAACTAGATCTAACTATTCCAAAATGTAAGAATGTTAGCCAGGTATGACTTAAGTTTTTTTGTTTGTCTTGTAAGACAAATTTGTATCTATTAACTAATACAGCTGTACTTTTCAAACAGTGAGCAGGTGTAATTAAACCTTGTTGCTACTCAGTTATTTTGATCATACATTTCCAGTGCTGTTTCATGTTAGGAAGCAGCCTGTGAAAACAATGAGTTTTACCATTTCTTAATTACACACCTGTGGGGTTTTGACATGTATATTTTTCTATTGTCAATAAATTTCCATGTCTTTTAAGTACTAATAACATAGGATCTTCAATTTTAAGTTCATATTTACAGAATATTTTCCTAGAATTTTTATAAATGAGTACAGAGAATATTGTCTTCCCTTGTTTCTCTGGAAAAAAGAGGATGTTTTGCAACATGAAAACTTCATCATCACTGTTTTTGGGGAGCATATTTTTCCTTGCCAACAGGGAAGGATTTCAGTGTGAGCAACCTTTTTGTAGGGAGCTAGAGTTACTGCAAAGAAATCTGTTGCTGTCAGAAAGGACAGATGTCAAGATATTTGACAGAAAGAAAATCTGCAATTTGTTCCCTTTTTCAGATTTCCCAAGCAATTCACTGCAGACATGTCTTCCTACTGAAGAGGGATAAAAATCTAAGCGTTTTTGCCACTGTCATTTCTTCAAGGCCAAAGAATAAAAACCAAACCAATACTAATTAATCTGTCAATAACTGTGACAAAAGTATTATTACAAAATTCATCTGGCACGGTACATCTGGGTGGATTTGAATATACAAATAATAGGTTCTAGAATATGCGTAGAATATTCTTAATATAAAATGAAAATGTTTAGTTTTTCTGATGCATTAACATAATTTTCAACATTATAAAAGAAAGTGTTCCTCATTATTAGCTGGATTGCACGAAGGAAATAATTGCATGAGTACAAAATGTTTCTGTACTGTTCTGGAAGCATAACTATTGCTCAATGTTTCAGTGTGGCTCAAACACACAATTGCTTCATGTCTTCCAAGAAGACTTCATTTTGGGATACAAGCCACATAAGGAAGATGTGGAAGGGAAGGAAACTGAGATATTTTTCCAGCCATCACAAGGTATAGCATAAACTATAACTAATACGAATTAAGTAGGTACCAAAAATGTTCTTAAAGAATACTGAAATCTAGCTAGCATGTGCTAATTTACTTTTTAATGAGAATCTGTAGAATTCAGTAAAATGGCTGTTTTGTGTTTTTCATATGAATTACTGTTTACATGGAATTAAACAAAAGCATTCTAATTGAAGAATTTTGAGTTCCAAGAACATTTTAACCTGTATGAAAAAGTACATTTTTCGAAGTGCTGTATGTTTTATACAAAAATAGGAAAAAATAGAACAGAAGCATATTTTCTGCATCAATATGTAGTTCCAGGTCATGATGGGAATATATCTGACTTTCGAGTTAATGCAATAGAAAGTCACTGGGTAATTTGGTTATAGACTTAAAACTTTAAAAGAAAAAGGAAGAAAGCAGGTGGGTGAAAGGAGTCTTTACAATCTGACAAAATAATTCAAACTGACTGGGAAGGCAAATATCTAATAAATTAGATTTGTCACTAATACTCAGATTGTCTGTAAGTCAGTATCTATTTTTGTAATTCTTCTGTGGCCATAAGCAAACAAAATGTCAATTAAAGCATATTACTAATGGTACTGTTTGAGTATTTGGTTTTATAATCAAACAATTTCTTTCAAAGATGAAAACAGGGTTTTTTTATTATTAATAGTTAATAGAGAATCTTTTGTTATGGAAAAATTATTTAGGTTGAATGTAAAATTCATGACAGTGATAATATGTTTAAATTACAGGGTATCGTCCACCACCTTTCTCAGAGAAGTTTTACCTTGTAGTAATTGAAAAAGATAGTAATGGCTGTTCTGTTCTTCAGATGTGGCATCTTCATCTCAAGTCTGTGCAAGCTTGTTTAGGTGAGTGAGTGACTGTAACATTTTTAGAGAGACATTTCTTTCATATTATTTCAAGTAAAACTTAAAGATTGGTGGTTTATTTTAAAACCATTAATCAATGCAGTAGAAGCAATGAGATTTCTTACAAACACTGATTGCATTCTATGCCAATGACAATATATAAATTTTTTGATGGAGTGAGTAATGTACTTAAGCACTGAAATCTTTATTTCAGACTATCAGAATTTCAGAATGTTATGGATATCTTAAAATTATTAGTCACAGCATGCAATAAAACTGACACTGCCTGCACACATCATATAATTTTCTGTGTAACTCAAGCACTGATAAAAACAAATAAATTTGATTAAAGGGTATTCATGTCTTGTCCTTATAAACAATTTTTTTAACATTCTTAGCATTTTTTTTTATACAGCAAAACCAACCGAAACATCTTCATCAGATAATAAGCTTAGTGTACCTGAGCAAAAGACTGTGGATTCTTCTCCAGATGTATCACCTGGCATAAGTCCCATTCCACGATCTTCATCCATTGCTAATCTTCAGACTGCTAGTAAACTCATCCTGAGCTCCAGACTCGTGTACAGCCAACCTCTGGATCTTCCTGTTGGTGTAGAAGTAGTGAGAGCAACTCCTTCAGCAGGTAGCTTTAACATTTTTTTCTATCCAGTTGATCCACTGATTTACCTCCTAGTTTATAGGATTGTATCTCCCCAGCCTGTCACATTCTGAGTTACTGATACAGGAAGTTCAGGACTAAAAATGTGCTTTCAAATCATTGTGCCCATGTCATGTTCTTCTTCAATAACGGTTTCAAGACCCCACAGGAGAGCTATTCTTGAAACTTACTGCTCTAATAGTTAGAAATTTAACTTTTAACCTTAATTTGTTAATAAACAATTTATACCTGCTTGTTCATCTGTCAGCATTACTGTGTTTGGTAGGTAGTGCTTTTTATCACCTGATACACTTACAGCTTCTTCTGTTTGTCTGTCTTTCTGTCTCTCCTGTTGTGTTTTTTTCCCTTTCCCTCTTTTGTTTCATTTTGGTAGGCTATATAAGACTAATCTTAATATCCTTAATCTCATCTGATTAAGGCTTTGTATTCCTTTTGTTGTTCAATTCCAATTTATCATATTTGAATAGTGACCAAAAATGCAGACAATAAGTATTGTTCAAGCTGCAAGACTTAATGTTAACCAGCCTTAATGTTACTTGCCCTTACCCAACTCCAAATTAAAAAACTAATACCAGGTTGTAAGATCTCTTGCAGTAGGTAGACAGTGTTATGTCTGCCTTATTCATGAAGGCATCCTACTATATATTACTAAAAGTAAATGTGTTTGTTCCAACTTCAGGTCACTTGAGTTCTTCATCAATATACCCAGTCTGCCTTGCACCTTATTTGATAGTAACGTCGTGTTCAGACAACAAAGTGCGGTTCTGGAGATGCACTGTAGAGACAGACCTGAACAGCAACAATGAAGAAAAGGAAACATATCACTGGAGAAAATGGCCTTTGATGAATGATGAAGGAGAAGACAACAGCAGCACAGTGAGCTTAGTAGGAAGGCCGGTTGCTGTGAGCTGTTCTTACACGGGACGTCTCGCAGTAGCCTACAAACAGCCCATACAGCATAATGGCTTTGTTTCCAAAGAATTTTCCATGCATGTTTGTATACTTGAATGTGAGTCTACAGGAGGATCAGAATGGGTATTGGAACAGACAATTCATCTGGATGATTTAGTTAAGGTTGGAAGTGTACTTGATTCAAGGATCAGTGTAGATAGTAATTTATTTGTTTACAGTAAATCAGATGCATTTTTGAATAAAGACAGATACCTGGTGCCCAGTATCAAGCATTTGGTGCATTTGGACTGGGTTTCAAAAGAAGATGGTTCACATATACTGACAGTTGGAGTTGGTGCCAACATCTTCATGTATGGAAGACTTTCAGGAATTGTAACAGATCAAACGAGCAGCAAAGAGGGAGTAGCTGTTATTACCTTGCCACTAGGTGGGAGCATAAAACAAGGTGTAAAGTCAAAGTGGGTGTTGCTTAGGTCCATTGATTTGGTATCATCTGTGGATGGCACTCCTTCACTGCCTGTTTCCTTGTCCTGGGTGAGAGATGGCATCCTGGTAGTGGGGATGGACTGTGAAATGCACGTTTATGCCCAGTGGAAACACGCTGTCAAGTTTGGTGATGGAGAAAGTGATGTTTTTACTGCTGAAGACTCAACAACACAAGATCCACTTAAAACAAGCTTGATAATGAAGAAGACCAGTGTAATTGATGGGGCAGGTGTTGTGGATGATGTTTTTGGCACTCCAACAGTAATTCAGGATGGAGGCCTCTTTGAAGCTGCTCATGTTCTTTCACCTACTCTACCCCAGTATCATCCAACCCAGTTATTAGAACTTATGGATCTGGGTAAAGTTCGCCGAGCCAAAGCCATTCTATCCCACTTAGTTAAATGTATTGCGGGAGAAGTTGCAATAGTTAAAGACACAGAAGCTGGAGAAGGGACTGGTACTAAACGCCACCTGTCTCGCACCATCAGCGTCAGTGGCAGTACTGCAAAGGACACCATCACTGCTGGCAAAGATGGCACTCGAGACTACACCGAGATAGACTCGATCCCCCCACTGCCACTGTATGCACTGCTGGCTGCAGATCAGGATGCCACCTATGTGTCTGAAGAAACTTCTAAAATACCTCAGGGCTCTGAAGACCAGGCTAAGAGAAAAACAGAGGATCAGTACTCAGATCTGTTCCAGATTCAACCTGTTACAACCGAAGACTTTATAGATTTTGAGCCTGAGAAGAGGGAGAGTAAATCCAAAGTTATTAATCTGTCACAGTACGGTCCAACTTACTTTGGCCGAGAACACGCGAGTGTCCTTTCAAGCCACCTGATGCACTCCAGTCTGCCAGGCCTCACTCGACTGGAGCAGATGTTCCTTGTAGCTTTGGCAGACACTGTGGCCACAACGAGCACTGAACTAGATGAGAACAGAGATAAAAATTACTCAGGTTAGTAACTGACATTATTGAATTAACATTCTTGTTAATTCAATAAACCTCAGCAAAGGTAAACTTAGTCCTTGGGTCTTTGGGGATAACACACCTGAAATCTAGCATCAGTTATTCAGATTAGATACTGTAAGAAAGAAAATAAAATACGAATCTCTACTTATATTTCATGCATAATAAATAACCTGTGGTTCAGGCTCTTGGCAAGCTTAGAAACATACATTCCTCATACACTGTATATGATAACTTGTATATATGTCTCTTGTAGTTCAAAAGTCAGTATTTTGTATTTCACAGGAAGAGATACCTTAGATGAATGTGGCTTACGATACTTGTTGGCGATGCGCTTGCACACTTGCCTTCTGACATCGCTGCCACCGCTGTACCGAGTTCAACTGCTTCACCAAGGTAATCCTCAGAGAAAGTATTGCTTCCATTTGATCCCCTTGAGCTGACAGGCTCTGGTAATGTTTTATTTATAATATATTTCTATTATCTGCATATTAATTTTCTATTTCGTTAAGGCCATTATCTTGCAAAGGCTTAGTACAGACTTCCCTATGTGCACTGTAAATAGCAAAAAAAGGATAACTCTAGAGCAGATTCTGGCCTGTTCAGTTTGAGGCATAAGTTCTCCAAACAGAGAAAATACGTAATTCAGTGTTTGTGCTGGAGGAATGAACACTTCTTTACATTAGCTTGGCTTTATCTTACCTTAAAGATTGTTTTATCATTTTCATCACTGCCTTTTTTTCCCTTGCTCAATACGAGTAAACGCTGTTGTAAAATACAGGAAAGAAAAGTAGTTACCACCTAAAAAGGAGAGACAAGCATTTCTGGCCCAGAATGGGTCTGCTTCTGTGATAACAGAATGCTTTTCCTTCAGTCTTTCAACATGTAAGTTTAGTACATTTATGAGTGGGGTGCTGGAAGGTTACAAAAGAAGCACTGAGGAGAGGTTATCCCTAACAGGCAAAAAAGATATTTCAGCTGTTCCTTTAACAGCTCTACCTCCTGTTGAGGAAAACAGTCTCTCTCAACTCTACCCAACTCTTGGGCTGGAGATCCCATTTTTCCTCTCTGACATATTCCATTTGCTTATTAACAAGTCAGTCTTCTGAATGTTATTGGTTTGTGTTATTGTTTAGGCCTGTCTACTTGCCATTTTGCATGGGCTTTTCACTCTGAGGCCGAGGAGGAGTTGATCAATATGATTCCTGCTATCCAGAAGGGAGACCCACAGTGGTCTGAATTAAGAGCTATGGGTATTGGTTGGTGGGTCAGGAATATCAACACGCTCCGAAGGTGCATTGAGAAGGTACTTTTTATTGCTCACAATTTATCCTTACATGCTGTTAGTTGTGCCTTCACAGGTGTGCATGGTGAGTTGTGTAAGCAGGTTCCTTTGTACTCCAGCCCAGCAGGAGACTGCATAATTAGTTTTTCTATGCCAGCTGATGTTGGCAGTCCTGCCTTACAAATGTCATTATTCAGTAGTAAGATAAAATTCAACTGATCTTGGGAAAAGCCATTTTTGAAACGCCTAAATTCTCTCCCCCACATATTTTATAGTATGTTAAAGATCATATTAGGTACTCTGTTTCAAGAAAAATCTTGCTTTCAGGTATGAGACAGTCTACAGATTTAAACAGGTAATAATGCTTTCAGTTCAGCAGTAGGTTTTCTATGAGAAATGTATCTATCTAAAAATATTAGTCAATAAAAACCTATATAAAGGATTTTTTTGCAAGTGTATTGTTTATAATGAAGTCCTATAGAACATAAAATAACTGAACTGCAAATAAATACAGATTTTACTCTTCTGAAGAGTTACAAAATTACTGGGTTTTGGCAATATATACCTATATTATGTAAAACCAAAATAACACTAAATCTCATTTGTGTGCAGAGTTTTCTTGTGAGAGGTCTAAAATGGATAAAGTGCAATGTATTTTCGAAATAATAGCTAAAACCACTTCCCACAGCTACCAACAAAGTTGAAATCTCATTAAATAATACAAATTTCAGCTTTCTTATAACTTGATGTTTGATGGATTTGTACAGTTACTACATTTGCTTTGAATTACAGCAAGAAATGCAATCTTTAAAATATCTGTGGAACACTACTTACTACTCTATTAAATTTGCAAGTTCATCTAATGAAAAAAATACATTTTTTTAAGTTACAGGAAATCAAAGAATCCAGGAGCAAAACAATTATCCTAGTACTCCAAATCAAATGCAATTACATCTGATTCCTGTATAAAACCCAAACTGTTCTTTAAGCTAATACTGTTATTAGCTTAAGTATTTTTAAATAATGCCTTGCCAGATGAATTTCACCTAATAGTATTAGTTACTGTAACACTTTTGAAGAAAATATTTTTATTTGCACATTCATATCCCACTATTGCTCTCTGCAATAGTGCTGGTTTTCTGACTCTTAAAAGCATTTACAGTAGAGAGCTCTGTTACATGTGAGTAAAACATTCTCACAGAAGTTACTTTGTTGGTTTGTAGAGATAATGCGGTCACTAAACCATCCTCCCTGTTAAACAGCTAAAGAACACGAGTTATGTAGGTAAAGGCAACCTTTTATATTTCCATTAGTAATAGTAGGCTTTGTTTACTACAGGTTGCAAAAGCTTCATTCCAGAGGAACAATGACGCCTTAGATGCTGCACTTTTTTACCTTGCTATGAAGAAAAAGGCAGTGGTGTGGGGTCTGTTCAGGTGAGTTCTGCTAACTGTAAGTTTGGTAAAATCTTAATGGAACCAGGAATGCAAAGCAGAATTCATTCAAGATTAGAGTTTAATTTCAAGTAATGTTGCTCAAGTGATAGTATGCTAAGGTTATGTAATAAATAGCTGTATACATTGCATTTCTCTATGCAGGTCCCAGCATGATGAAAAGATGACTGCCTTTTTCAGCCACAACTTCAATGAAGATCGATGGCGTAAAGCTGCTTTAAAAAATGCTTTTGCTTTGTTGGGAAAACAACGTTTTGAGCAGTCAGCTGCATTTTTCTTGCTGGCAGGTTCACTAAAAGATGCTATAGAGGTATCTGCTTTTGAGAAATTAAGTTTCAGTTTCTAATTTGACCTATGTAGCTACATCCTTGCACGCTGTTCTCTGATGAAGTTTTCACAAATTGCAGCAGCACAAAATGGGATGGTATGTCCACACAGGAGCCCCTTGTGCCCTGCAGACATACCATTTACCTCCACACTACTGTGAAAAGTGTCATGGAAGCTGATCTGAAGGCCAGAATAATTGTTCAGATACATCAGTGCTCAGTGGAAGCACTCTTGGGAATACTAGTAGTGACCTTTCTGGCAAAACTCAGTTTGATCAACACAGTTAAACTGTGGCAGTGTGTTCAGCCTCCAGCTATTCTGCATGACCTACTGATACTACATTGAGTAGAAAAAGAAGTCAAGCAGCCCAGGGATCCCTTTTCAGTGCAGCTGTGATGTTCTTGTCGCGTGGGAGGTGGGAGCTGTAACCAGGATCATAAGCTAAGCAGTACCTCTCAGGAGAGTATGGCAATTAGAGAATCTTTAGTTATCCTGCCTATTTCTATGCAGTATGTTTGTTTTCACTGGAGAATGTATTTTCCTCTGAGATGTAATTCTGCACACAAGACAGTGTGAAAAATATCTTACCAGTGATGTAATAACATTAAAGTTGGAGGGTACAATTATACTAGTAGATAGAATAAAAATAGACATTTTTACTTCTGCCATATTAATTTTTTACATGCTGATGTACCACTACGCCTATCACAATTCCTGAAATAGGGAAAAGTACACCTCTTTGCAAACAGAAGAAAATATCTTACTTGGATATAGAGTACTTGTCACATTTTTGACCCAAAGATTAATTTATACTTTAAAGAACAGATATGATGAGAAAAAAAAAAATCTGTCTTGTAAACATATATTGCTATTCACTTTATTTTATAAAACAACCTTTTCCTCATAAAACAACTTTTTCCCTACTGCTTATCATAGGTGTGCCTTGAGAAAATGGAAGACATCCAGCTGGCTATGGTCATTGCTCGTCTGTATGAATCAGAGTTTGAAACCTCTGTCACATACACCTCCATCCTTTATGAAAAGATTTTGGGTTGCCAGAAGGATGGAACCGGGTTTAGTTGTACTAAACTGCATCCTGATCCGTTTCTGAGAAGCATTGCATACTGGATAATGAAAGATTACACACGAGCACTGGATACATTATTGGAACAAACACCTAAAGATGATGATGAAAACCCAGGTAAGGAATAACATTAGTGTGTTGGGACAAACTTTTTAAGAGGAGAAGGAGAAATACTAAAGAAAAATATAAAAATCTTTTTCCAATTTTTTTCTGAGGATTCTCTCCAACCCTCTAACACCAGACTTGGTTCCTGGTGTCAGCTAAGCTCGGGAGGGCTGTCTTTGTTTCATACTTCCTTACAATACTTCTCTAGTACTGAATGCTGGCTGGTCTTTATTCCAGTGGACTTAAATTCTCGTTCTTGCTTCTAGGAATTAGCAGTATTCTAGCAGGATTTCCTATCTCATGTCTTCAAGATTAATGTTTAAATGATAGGTTTCATATTTTCTTGGGGAAATCTCTATTTGGCTGATAATCTCAGCTGTGTTTAGGCTTAGTGAATGCAATATAACAGTGAGGCAAATGAGAGAATTTAGTATCTTTCTACTCATTCAGCTCATACCCTTAATCTTTTTGTGGGGAGTAAGTAATTCTTTCATTTTGTTTTGGTAACTAGACCCAAAGCTGTCTATGTTCTTGTGTTTTGGCAAATGTCTAATGCAGGAAATACTGCAAAACAGAATAATACCATTTTAAAGCCATTTTCAAAAGGTGTCTTATCTGTTTAATTCCTTAGTTATCGTCAAATCATGCAACCCTATGGTATTCAGTTTTTACAATTATCTTCGGACCCACCCTTTGCTCATCAGAAGATATTTCAGCTCCCCAGAAGGAACCTTGGCCACCTTAGGTCTAACAACTGAGAAAAGCTTTGTGGATAAAATTAATCTTATAGAAAGAAAATTATTCTTCACTACTGCAAATGCTCATTTCAAAGTGGGCTGCCCTGTGCTAGCTCTTGAAGTTCTTTCCAAAATTCCAAAAGTAAGAAAAAAGTCTACTGTAGATGCAGAAAAAGATTCATCCAGTCCTCCTATACAGGATGGTGTTTCAGATTCCAAAGCCCTACAGGATGGTGCTGGAATTGGTGATATAGACTGGTCAAAGCCCATTTCAACTTCCTTTGCTTTGGATAATACTGCTGAATCTTCAGCACAATTTGACTGGAGTCAACCAGCAGTAAAATTTGATGATGAGCCCCTTACTCTTGATTGGGGTGAAGACAAAAATGGGTCAGATGAAGAGGACAAGGATGTTGGTTTAATGATGAAAAAATCCGATTCTAAGAGTGGAGAAGATGAGAGAACCCCAGACACAAGCATGGCACAAACACCACGTGGGGAGGTTTCTGATGCAGGAGACACTGAGGTTGATGTTATTGCTGAACAATTGAAGTTCAGAGCCTGTTTGAAGATCCTTATGACTGAGCTGAGGACTTTGGCTACAGGTTATGAAGTGGACGGAGGAAAGCTCAGGTTTCAGCTGTACAACTGGCTTGAAAAAGAGATTGCTGCTATGCATGAAATATGCAACCATGATGCAGGGGACAAAGACTATTGTAAAACCTATACCAAAGTAAATGGGGATCTACTTGACCACGAAGATATTATGGATAAGCCAGATATTGGTTCCTATGAACGGCACCAGATAGAGAGACGGAGGTTACAGGCAAAGCGAGAACATGCTGAAAGAAGGAAGTGGTGGCTGCAGAAGAACCAAGCTCTGCTGAGAGTTTTTCTAAGTTACTGTAGTCTTCATGGGGCACAAGGTGGAGGCTTAGCATCTGTAAGAATGGAGCTGAAGTTCTTGCTGCAAGAGTCACAGCAGGTAAAACGAATTCAACTAATTTCTATTCATGAATGTGAACAGTTCCAGACTGTCAGTTATGTCAAATGCCTGAGTTTGTGCCTAGATAGATGCTGCTTGTGTTCTGCAAGCCTAATGATCAAGGTCATTTTAATGTTCTCAGAGAAAGAACTTTGTATCTAAGTATGCTGCTGTTCCACATCCTGATTACTTGGTTCTTAAGAACCTGTTACGTGACACTGAGGATCAGGCTACTTATGATCGTGGAATATAAAAGTTGCTGTTTATATTATAGTTGCAGCATTATATGTGTGCTACAATGGCATAATTTTGGTCACAGTATTCTAGGTACCTATCTAATAAATCAAATTCACACTTACTGAAATACAATAAAATCTCATTCCCTACACCTCTGCAAATCATCCAAGGATGCTACAAGAAATGGGGTTTTAGCTGCAAAGTTCAACAAATAATATAAAGTCAGACAGGGTAGTGCTTTCTTTTACTATATTATGGCATTTTCTACATTTTATTTCATACAAAAAGAGATATTTTATAGCAAATGTTAATGACTAACCTGAGCTACAGCAGATAATCTGATACTGGGCAAGTAATTTAACATGCTCTAATCCTAGATTTCTCGTATTTCAAATAGAAGCAAGAGACAGCTGTTTTGGTGGTACTTGGCTTAGCATTTTAGTATTTTTTAGTACATTTTTAGTACTTTTAAGAATAAATAAAAGTTCTGTTCATTTCCCCTTGAGAAACTCAGATGAGTGCAAATTTGACTTTGTTACTAAACTCAGACCAGTGAGTATCATGTCAACTTATGCTAATGCAAGTACAGTTTTAGTTAATATCCCTTAATAGACAATCTCAACACTTCCTAATGAACTACATGAAAGTACTCTTCCTGCACTTAATCAAAAAGCAAACTTGGCTATCAGGTCTGAACCTTGTTATTATAGTAAATAAGAACTTACTTTTGACAGTAAAATTCCGTCTGTACTGAGTGGACAGCAGTGGAAGAGGACAAATAACCTGGGAAATAGATTTAATGTGTAAAATTATGTAAATAAAAATAAATTATGTAAAGAAAATATGTAAAATTATGTCTATTTATAAACTTGTTTTTCTCAAAGCAATAATTTTAAATACAGTCTTTTGTCTTAAACAGGAAACTACTGTGAAACAACTTCAGTCTCCACTTCCACTCCCCACAACACTGCCCCTGCTTTCTGCAAGCATAGCATCCACAAAAACTGTGATAGCTAATCCTGTGCTGTATTTAAACAACCACATTCATGATATTCTTTACACTATCGTGCAGATGAAATCACCACCACATCCTAATGTTGAAGATGTCAAGGTAATGAAAAGCTTTCAGGAGATGCTGAATGAGTTTTTTTATAAAATGGGGAGTGAGCATGTGAAAAATAAAATGTAGTGTTTATTTTTCAGCACTTACCTTTTTACAATACTGACCTTCTCCTTTAAGTCTGGTGAAGTGAACATGCTGGTTAACTAATTGCTTTCTGACATCTTTTTGGGTCTAGTTAGTTCCCTTTCATCCAAATTCTGGTTTTTCTCAGGAAACTATTCCAAATGTGAATGTTCACTGAAACACAAATTCTTGGCTCTTAAAACAGCATGATCATGGAAGTTAACTAATTATTCTCATTCTGATCGAATCCTGTAGGGAGACTAATGAAAGTAGAGATGAGACTGTAAGTTATATTATAGTATTCTATGAATATAGATACTATAAACCTTACTGTAGTGCAGATTTCCCCAACTGTACGAGGGTTTTTTACAGAACTGTGGTGAAATACTTTATCTAACTGTGTACTTAGGGATGAATAAATTCTATTCAAATTCAGTAAATACAGGAGGGGAAAAAGCCAAAGAGCATGAGACTAGGACACAGTTAATTAACAAGAACCTAAATCATTATTTTGTATATTTAATGAACATGAATACCAATCTAAATTAATTTGACTAAATGAAAGTAAGGAAAAACAGGAAAGTAAATGGGATGTCCCACTGCAAGGCAGTTAAGTTCTAAAACTGTAACCCAAGCTCATTTACATCTCATTTTCTCTCTTACATCTTGACTTCTTCTCCATTCTGCATTATGTTACAGCAAGCATCTTTCTTACTCTAAAAACTCATAAATTCTTAAAAGAGAATTCAGAAAGAAGAGCTGACACTTCCTAACTGCAAGACAGCCATTTAAATAATTCATAGTTTTAATCTAAGACCTAATATTTGATTAAATGGAAAGATAGTAGGAAAGATAGGAACAAACAGAGGGTGAGTTTAAAAAAGTTTACTTTTTTAACAGTTTGACAGTACCATTTTCTTCACACTGTGGATTTCATTGAGCTTTCCAAGAAATCCTTGCATTTCTTCTGTTTAAGAACTGGACTGTTTCTGTTGCATTGTGAGGCAAAAATGGAGTTATTCTTGTTACTCCTGGAGACTTACGGAAATTTATAAGCACATAACTGAGGTAAAAAAGAGATTTTAGATAAAATAATTATATAATGACTACACAAATTTTTGTATTTTATGCATATTGAGCAACTATTACTACATTGAACTGCAATGTTATATAGTACAGCTTCCAGGAACCATTCCATCAAATTCATTATCATAAGAGGACATACTTAATCACTCCTTCAGTGTGCTCATTTACTGCGGCTGTTCTGTATTATAATCAAGTTAATTATCTTGACATAATACTGGAAGGTTGTGACTGCCATCAAATTATCTCGAACAAACAGTTGTGATTTTCTTAGCACTACATTGTAAACTTAAAGTAATGTTCAGTTACTATTTCTTGCACTTGGTTTAAAACTAGGACAGCCCTGCAGAACACATTTCCAATGTTCTTTAAAAAGAATTGTAGTTTGATCACATTTTATATAAAACATGTAGCTTATTGGTTCTTTTTATTTTAGGTGTACACACTTCATTCTTTAGCAGCTTCACTTTCTGCATCCATTTATCAAGCACTATGTGACAGCCACAGCTACAGGTAAAGAGGGAAATTTTCTTACAGTCCTACCTTTGGAGTATACTTTATAAATCCTAAATGGAAATTCTTCCTGCATGTGTCTAAAAAAGGGATTAAATGTTTGCCTGTGGATATACTTACACAGTTTACACACTGCTAGCTTTGATACCCTTGATCAGTTTTACACAAATAACACCAACCATTCAGGTTTTGTCAATAAACAATAGGAAAACCTGATGTCACTGTCACTTGGGACACTCACTTTCTCATCAGAAAAAAATGCATTTGTGTTTAGCAGTCAAGCAGAAGCCAATCAGTTTACTGGGATGGTTTACCAAGGACTGCTTTTGAGTGATCGACGCAGGCTGAGGACAGAAAGTATCGAAGAGCATGCAACTCCAAACTCATCTCCTGCTCAGTGGCCTGGTGAGACAAATATAAGGTTATTTTTAGCACCACTGGACCAGCTCCACATTTCGAAATTACTTCACTGTCCTGTAATATGATGTTTCTGATTTAGTTCTCAAATTGATGACAACCTTTAACTTTTTCACGTATCAAAACTAATTAAAATAAACTTTCTATATGGCAGACATCTTGCTTGAAGAAGAAACTGTGATCTTTAGGATAAAATCAATGATCATTTGTCATTCTAAAATGTTTTCCTCCAGCCTGCCTAACCGTCTAGCAAAGCTATTTGTTAGCTGTCTCTGCAGTACTGTCTTAAATATATGCTGTAGTTGGTATAGCTATCAGAATAGCTAATTCCAATGTATGAGCATAAATTTAGTTTTTTAAGGTGAACTGTAGAAACAGTGCAGGAATTTCATAGGTATGCTGAGCTGCCCATAGTATTGGCAGAGAAGTTCAATGCAGAAGTCCCAGACCCAAGAAGACTTTCTGTCATTTTGATCTTTATTATTTAAAAAAAACTATTAGCATATTATATATTAGTATGTGTGTGTATATATATATGTATATACTAAGTATATTTTAGTATGTTTTGTCTGAATAAAAGCATCATGTATTAGTGGATATCTACCATAAAATGTAGAGGTGAAACACTTCCTTTTTTCCCCCATTTGTCCTCCTACTCATTTAACACAGAATTTTTCCTCTTTTTCTCTTTGCAGGCGTGAGTTCGCTTATCAATCTGTTAAGTTCAGCTCAGGATGAAGATCAACCAAAGCTCAACATCCTCCTTTGTGAAGCTGTGGTAGCTGTCTACCTGAGCCTCCTCATCCACGCCCTTGCAACCAATTCCTGCAACGAGTTGTTCCGACTGGCCGCCCACCCTTTGAACAGTCGCATGTGGGCGGCTGTTTTTGGGGGGGGAGTGAAGCTTCTTGTCAAACCTCGAAGGCAGTCAGAAAATATTCCAGGTACATCCTTCTCTGAAGGTCATACTAATGATTTGCATTTTATACCTTTTAGTAGCCTGGTAGGAAAGGTTTCTTTCCTTTTAAAGACCAAAACCAAGCAAGCAGGATTTAAGAATGTACTGGCAAGAAAACTGTTACATTAACTAAAAAGCAGAAAGAAATATTAGCCTTGCAGTTGTCATTTGTAATGGCACCCAGCACATTTTAAATTTGCCATAAAAACTGCACAGTTGTTATATTACTAATATTACTATTAAATGCTTACTTATAACCTTTTCAGGACATTCAGCCATGATTTTTAGTGAAAAACAGACTATATAAATCAGTGTTAATACCTCTGGGGTTTTGTTTGTGAGATGAGTGTTACTGTTTAATGACTGCAGTAAGTTGGAAACAGTATTTCTGAAACCAGTTTCTATAGCAAGGTAGGATTTCACCTAGCACAAACCACAGAGGAGAAATATCAACTTCATCTGTCAGAAAAACAGGTTATGCATATGTAAGCTCCAGCTAACCCCAGGATTTTTACAAAGACAGATGAGCAAGTCTTAATATACTGCTTGAGGAAAAGCAAAAGTGGAGATTGAATTCAGGCTCTGAAGACAAAGAAAAATACAACCATTTGTCATAGGACTTCGCACTGCAGCAATACTGCAAATCATGTCACATAAACTTTCATATCAACAATAGGCTTTAAAGTTATGCAAAAATTAGACATTCCGTATCCAAGATATAAACCCAAATAGTAATAAAGCATTGCACCATTATAAGTGTGCACAACAGGTTTTTGTCATTCATGGAATAACTTGAACTCATTTAGGGCAGTTATTTTCACAAGGTGTTAATATGAATAAGTTATATAAGTTGTGTTTATTTGAGATGTATTCTGTTTTCCTTTAACCTACAAGCTGCTACAGCTTCTGATGTTTCAGAGGATGGTAATGAAGGTTTGTAAAGACTTGCAGTGTAGATGAGTGTTGGTAGTGACTTTTTGGAAAAAAAAAAGTTTTTAAGTATCTAGTTCCCTTGTAATAAAGTAAGTGTGATCTTCAATGTTGCCTGGCCAATAAGACTTCGAAGAACAAATTCCACAGTAAAATTTTGATAAGTGTTATGGCAGTTTAAGTCATAACACTTTAAAACAGACTTCAGGTATCAAAAAGCCTGTCTCTATTCAAATTTTCTTCTCTATCTTAAGACTTCCTTGGCTTACATTTTGATAACTACTGATAATAGTGCAGCTTACTGTTTAGTGATATTTTATATATTGCTTTCTTTCTCAACAAAATTTCTGAGTTTCTTAATTTCTTTCTTGAGAAATTTTTAGATAAAAGATTTTTTCTTAAAAGGTACATCTCCTGAGAACTTAATCCAGTATATAAATGTAAAATAAAATGTACTTCTCATAAAATGTCCAGTGTCTAAATGCCACAGTATTGAATTTATCGTAAGTGAACTTTTTTATGATCACACTTACTTTATTTAGGCTGCCTTTGATTCTGAGTCAGTAGAAATTAGTACCAATAACAGTGGTGTTAGTTGCTTCAGTTACAAAATACAGCCATTTTAAAGATGCAATATTAATATCAGCTTTTTTAATGACCTGAATTTAGCACCTCCTCTTCCATCCGAAGAAATGGATAAACATCGCCGCCGGTTTAATATGAGAATGCTGGTGCCAGGAAGACCAGTGAAAGATAGCAATGTACCACCTCCTGTACCTGCAGAAAGACCCTCTTACAAAGAAAAGTTTATTCCTCCAGAACTCAGCATGTGGGACTATTTTATGGCAAAGGTAATTTAAAATGGAAAACGAAAGTTACAGTTCGTAGCAGGATATTACTTCCATTAAGTTTTAAAGGATAAAAATAATGTGAAAATTCTGAGTGCTCTTTCTTGTAAGATGCAGAATATTATCTTGTTAATAAAAGATGAAGAGCCTACAAGTCTATTACTTCACCTTCAAAATGTGTCTCTTGTCAATAGTACAGATTAACACTTTTCCCTTTGCTATTTGCTTATAGTATAGGGAAATTTATTTATAGGTTAAATTGCTGTCATTTAAACTCAATGACAGTGATAATTGAAATAAGAGTTGAATATTAAGAAATCAGAAAATAGCTTTCATAGCAGACTTTTACTTTGCATTGCAGCCATTTCTTCCTTTATCAGACAGTGGTGTTATATATGATTCTGATGAAAGCATTCACAGTGATGAGGAGGAGGATGACGCTTTCCTCTCTGATGTACAGATCCAGGAACACACAGATGCCAATTCCTACAGGTTAGCAGAAATTGTCAGTGTTTTAGAACAATTATGTCATGTGCTTATCTTTGCTTCCAAAGCTAAAAAAAAAAAATACAGGTCTTCAGCACCATCCAGTTTTAAGTCAAATAACTTTAGTACTGTGGATAGATTTATCTGTGGCAATGGGATTACCGAAGTGACAGGTTCTCATCACAGTTTCCCATTTACTTGCCAAAAAAAGGGATTGGGAAGTCAAAGCTGTGTGGTTTGCAGTTTTTTGGGGAAGGGAAAACAAATAAGAAACCCCTATCTTCATTTTTAAGACACAAAGAGCATAAGGTACCCCAATGCCAGCTCCAAAACAATGTTTTAGGCTACTGATTCAAGCATGTAGGTTTTGAACGAGGTGTAGATTAAATATAACACATCTACACTGTTACTCTAACCCTGATTGAAGAAAAATATTCTGTAGATAGATCTTAATGTTATTTTAACATAACTAAATCTATTCTTTTTATACAGCTGGGCTCTTTTACATCTGACAATGGTAAAATTAGTTCTGCACAACATTAAGAATTTCTTTCCCATTGCTGGTCTGGAATTCACTGGTATGTTAAATCCTGCTTTACATTTTATTTTTCTGTATATGTGGCTCTGTAAGACTTTGCTTTTTAATTTTAATTTTAAAATTTAAATAACTAAATACCTTATATTTTGCAATAGCCAACACATACATTTCCTTTCAGGTTTATTTTTTTGGATGGCTGTATTATTCTGGGGTTTTTATACACACCATAAGTTAGATTATTTTTTGTCTCTTAAGCCTTAATTGAGTAATATTTCTGTTTAGATCTGCCTGTAACATCACCATTGGGCATTGCTGTAATCAAAAATTTGGAACACTGGGAACAGATTCTTCAAGACAGAATGGACCAATTTGAAGGCCCACCACCAAACTACATCAATACTTACCCCAGTGACCTTGGTGTGGGTGCAGGACCAGCTATTCTTCGCAACAAAGCAATGATTGAACCTGAAAACACACCGTTCAAGTAGGTATTCTTTTCTTAGCAAAGACACCTTCTCTGATCACAGAAATTCTAAAGAGTATTTCCTACTAATGTTAAACATGGCAGCCTGGAGGGCCAACTGTGTCCTGGGGGCCATCAGGCACAGCATCACTGGGTGAGAGAGGGGATTGTCCCACTCTGCTCTGCACTGGGGTGGCCTCACCTGGAATATTGGGGCAGTTTTGGGTGTCACAGTATAGAAAGGATATAAAGCTGTTAGAGAGTGTCCAAAGGAGGGCAACGAGGATGCTGAAGGGCCTTGAGGGGAAGCCATATGAGGAGTGGCTGAGGGCACTTGGTCTCCTCATCCTGGAGAAGAGGAGACTGAGGGGAGACCTCATTGCTGTTACAACTTCCTCATGAGGGGAAGAGGAGGGGCAGGCACTGATTTCTTCTCTGTGGTGACCAGAGGCAGGACCCGACAGAACAGCATGAAGCTGAGTCAGGGAAGGCTTAGGTTGGGTATCAGGAAAAGTTTCTTCACCCAGAGGGTGGTTTGGTGCTGGAACAGGTGCCCCGGGGCAGTGGTCACAGCACCAGACCTGTCTGAGTTCAAGAAGTGTTTGGACAATGCTCTCAGGCACACAGTGTGACTCTTGGGGCTGTCCTGTGCAGGGCCAGGAGTTAGACTTCAATGATCCTGATGGGTCCCTTCCAAGTTAGCATATTCTCTGTTTCTTTCCTCCTTCTGTTTTATCCAGATCAAAGGATTACTCAGCTCTTCCAGCAAAAAGGCTCTGGCATTTTCTTGTGAAGCAAGAACTTCTTCAGGAGACTTTCATAAGATATATATTCACAAAGAAAAGAAAGCAGAGTGAGGTAAACAAAGGATGTAACTTTTTTTTAAAAGAAACTTCAATTATAACTGTTCCTCAGTCTCCCCAGTATTAATTTTATTTTTTCTTTCCATTTTTCGTTAACATTTCAGTTTCCCTTCTTTCATTTAAAAGTGTTTGGATTTTTTTTCAAAATCAACATGACTGCCATGTTGTTGATTGGAATATCAACTGAACAGAATATATTTAGACAAGACATAGCTCACCTTTGTGTATCTGAATACTGTCCTAATAAACAGAACATTTGTGATAATGGTAATAAGCAAATGAATTTGAATATTCATGTAATATTTTTTTGGTGTGTCATACAGAAAAAGAAATTTAAATGCACTATTAATTTGTGTATATGTATATATGCATGAGTAATATATACATATAAGAGTAATATTATATAGTAATATATAATATGGGGCTTTACAAATTGTACCAGTTACAGCTGCTGTAAGTTCTAACTGAAAACTTAAACCAACACATAACTATCACGGGAAATAAGTATATGATGTAGTATCTTTAAGAATTCCTGTAAGTATGGAGTTTGTGTGTGTATTACTCCTCCATTTATTTACTATATCATACATCTTGTGTTCATCTAGGAGGCATTACATTTTAAGTGAGTTTGTTTAGATTCCTGTCTTAGTTTCTGTGCCTTTTATAAAAAGTTAAAAATACATTTGTCATCATTTACTGACAGAGTGGCCTTTAAAATCTAGTTTGGAATGTTTCATTCTTTTTTTATATTTGTTTGTGCATGTGTTTTGTGTTTGTGACTGTGTGATGTTATGTAGTCTGTAGAAGATCGTGTGGAGCAGGTCAAACAAAACTGCGTAGCAGAAGATCACAAAAACAAGGTAGTATCCCTTCTCCCAAACCTCTGGCACATTCTTAAAAGTTCTGTGGAACTGGCTTTCTTTCTCTAATGTGACTAACAGAAGCTGTATGTTCTGTGTAGTCTGTGTGGCAGGCTTTTAATCACTGAACTAACTTCAGATGTCCTGATAATTGGGATGAGTGAACACCTCGTAAATAGTGTTGCACACACAACTTCTGTTTCTTACGCTCAAACACAACTTTTGGCTTCTAGAACACCAAAGAGTATGAGAAGTCTAAAGTTTAGCTTCCGAAACAATGCTGAGGCCACTGAACTTTTCTTGCATGAATTTTGTATAGATTTTTGCACTCTGAATGTACCGCTACAAAATGGATTTTCGTACTAACTGAAGTTGTTTATAAATGTTTTGTAGGTTGAAGCAGATCTTGGCTACCCTGGAGGAAAAGCAAAAATCATTCACAAAGAATCAGATATGATAATGGCATTTGCAGTTAACAAGGTAAGCCTCAAGTACTACAAGAAGTGTAATAAAAAGATCCTAATTATAGTTAGTATAAATTTTGTATTTGTGCTGCATAGGCAAACAGCAATGAAATTGTTTTGGCATCTACACATGATGTTCAGGAACTTGATATTTCAGCTCTACTGGCTGCTCAGTCATTTATATGGATTGGGGAAGAATATGACAGAGAATCTAAAAGGTAAGATTGTTTCTTTGTGGTTATATTAATAAGAGTATTGGTTTACTGTGAGGCTGAATATATAATACCTGTGTAGGCACAAATGGAGCCTACCAAAAAAGTTATTTATTCTTCTTCAGTAAGTTTCAGGTTGCTTTACAAATGGGTGAGGGAATGCAAGAGAATAATTAGTGTCTTTAGGCATGTTTGCACTGCACAGTGAAGTCAAATTCCATGGTGCATAAGCTAATAAAGGAATACCTTAGAAACACTGTAGTTCTTTTGCATCATTTCAGTGTGGAGGGTAGTTGTGGTAGTTGATGCTGGCTGTATAATACAACAGCCTGGATTACTGTCTGCTCCATTACTGTGCTGAGATCTGTGAGCACTCCTCTGTACCACATTCCCTTGCACACTGCACACACAGGTCAGGAATAGCACAACAATATTCTTCACAAGAGAGCTTATATCTTTATATTAGGATCATCTCTTGAGATTAAAAATGAATAGCTTTGGAGCATTTGGAAGGAATTTGTACTATATAAGTGGAGGAATTATCAATTTATAGTCTTATTATAATCACTTCCTCTACCCACTGCCCTTAGGCTCTTGACAAATAAGCAAAGAGCATTAGAAGCAAAGAAACATTTGTTTAAAGCAGAGCATTGCTGTTCTTTCACAGTTCTGATGACATTGACTTCCGTGGTTCCACCACAACACTCACTCAGTCAACTGCCCCATCGTTTGGAGTGAGTCAGATACAACCATCTCCATCTATGCCATGGTTGGGCACTGGTCAAACCAGCACTGGAGCTGGTGTGGTAGGTACTTTTCTGTGCATGCAACTCAGGAGAGCATCACTTTTTTTGTGTGCTGTTTAGTAGAGAGACCTAGCGTGTATTAGTCATCTTACTGTTAATTTAACGTTGGCATAAAAGGCCAATGGTGACCAATAACTGGCCAAAAATAAGGCCAAACTAAGCATTTTCTTGTATACTGTGGCACAGAATTATTGTGATACAGAAAACAATGATACATCATTTTTTTTTCTTATGGGAGCTTTGATGTAGGACCACACAAATAACGTTAGTTTAACTTTTTTTAGCTGGGGGACACTCACCATGTAGTAGTATAAACAAAACTGAAGAGTGCATTTGTGTCTTTTTCCAAAATTATTCTGATTTTCCTTTGTTTTATATTAAGCTTATTAAAAGAAATCTGAATAACGTCAAGAGAATGGCTTCACATCCAGTCCACCAGTATTGTAAGTGAATCACGCTTACTAGTATGGAATAAACAACTTTCTACAAAATACTGTAGTATTAATAAACATCTTTCATCTTAGACCTTACAGGAGCACAGGATGGCAGTGTCCGAATGTTCGAATGGACAAGACCACAGCAGCTGGTTTGCTTCCGACAGGCTGGGAATGCCAGGGTTACCAGGATGTATTTCAATTCCCAGGGCAATAAGGTAAGTACAATATTTAGGGGTTTTGGGGGGATGTTGGGTTTTTATTCATAAGGCAACATTTGATTGTGCTGTGACCTCTAAATCAGTTGTAACTGGTGGCATGCAGAACTGTTATGGTGTCCTCCAGTGAGGGCATGAGCAGTATCATTCATTTTGTCTGCATGTGGGAGCTTTGTAACAAACACTGACCCTTGTTCTCCTTTCTCTTCTGTCACTTCACACTGCTATCCCATATCCCATTTGCTGCATTTTCACACTATTTATTCTCTCTGTTCTGAAATCTGTGTTCCCATGTGGTAACCTTTTTAAATTAAATATTTAAAAAAACTATTGGGCATCCTTATTTTCCAGAAGCACACTTGTATCAGTAATAGAATTGTGGAATTGTTAAGGTTGGAAAAGACCTCAAAGATTGTCAAGTTGCATAAAATGTAATTTAAACTGATTTTAAAATTGTGTTTTGAGATATTACAGTCTTACCATCACATGGGAATCAATCTTAAGTCAGAAATTCAGATGTACTAGTTGTCGCCATGCTTCACACAAAGGTCACTCAGGTGGGACTCATGAAATCCAACTAAAAGGAGAAAATATAAAAAATAATTCTAAATATTTCTAAAATTATTGTGTAAAATACAGAATATGCTGTATGGGATATACAGTATTAATATAACTCTGTCATTTTACCATTCATGATAGAGCCCAGTCCTTCCACAATTGTCCTCATCATGCTTTTATGATATGTCATGCATTTTCCTTTTCTAAGCATTTTCAAGTAGAGTCATGGAGTAATGATGCCTCTGTAAACCTTAGCATTTAACATTAGGATTTGAAAGGTAAGCTTCCATGCTTACAAAGCCTCCATTTCCGAAAAAGAGTTGGGTATGCAGGAGAGCATCAATCCTTAAATAATCATTAAACAATCAGCACTGAACTCACTTGGCTTCTACACTATTTTTTTGTACCTGACCATCACTGTTGTTGATGTTCCATTTACAGGTGAAGGTTTGGTGGTTTAGGTGGTTTTTTTCCTGAAGTTGGCAGTTTACTATTATTAATTATTATGAAGTAAACATCCAGTAACCAGTACATTATGATAATAAATGCAGTTCATTCCTTGCAGTGTGGTGTTGCTGATGGTGAAGGTTTTCTAAGTATTTGGCAAGTAAACCAAACCACCTCAAATCCTAAGCCCTATCTGGTAAGTAAACAGAATTAATTTTTTTCTTATTACAGAGGAAAGGGAAGTCTCTGAGACTTCAGACGGGCTCAGAGCATATGACTTTACTGAGACATTTTTTATTTTGCTGCTTTTTACTTGGCATACTTTGTCAAAACAACTGTAGAGTGCCTGTAGTACATCTTTGGAAAACTAATTGCACAATAACTGTAAGCTGCAGTGTAATTACAAATACTACTTCAGCATTACACTTGATTAAATTAAAAATCAGAGCTACAGGTAATGACTTTACAACCCCAAAACTTAGTGGAAATACACTCTTCAATTCTTTTCACTACTTCTTAACCGTCCATGAAAACCATGCTTAATTTGAAATTCAGGCTATTGTCATACACTATATTGTGGATTTGCTAAAGGTCACTAATTTTAGTATCTTTTTATTTTATACTGGATTTTTCATCCATTGTTCCATTCTCTGAGGTTTCAAACTGTCAGTTTTGAGCTTTGTGTAAAAGACTGCTTGTGTTTTGCTATCACTGACATCAGAGTCACAGTAGTAACTTTTGATGCAGACAACAACTGGTAAGATTGTGCCTTTTTTGTTTGTTTTGTTTTTTAACAGAGTTGGCAGTGCCACAGTAAAACCACAAGTGACTTTGCATTTATAACCTCTTCAAGCCTAGTTGCTACATCGGGACAATCCAATGATAACAGGTGTGTTTAAAGAAACAATGAGGAATTTCATCAAAACTACCTGTGCATCTCCATTACCGTGGTAGCTCTTGGGCATTCATGTGACTGATATTCTAAGGCTCAGTGTTCTAAGCTTTGTTACAGCTTGAACTTGCTAGATGATTTCTTTGAACATCATTCTTTCAGTTACTTGCTTCCCAAAATTAATTTTTGTGAGGAGGGGTCAATAGTTAACCAGTTTTTTCAAGTTGTATTCCAAATGCAGTGTGATGTGATGCCGTTGCTGGAGGGAGAAATATATTCAGCAAAGAGGACAATTCTTTTTGTCCAAAAAGAAAAACTTCTGTAATGTCTTGGTACAACCTGGGGTTGGTACACATCTTAAAGGTAGAACATATAGTTCCACTAAAAAGCATAAAAGAGCAGAGAAAGGAATTAAAAGTTCTTAGTTCTTTGCATATGTTCTACAATGACTGCAGAGTGTCAAGAGCTGCTTGTTCAGTTTTACTTTCTAGACTGACATAAAATGTGAACCTTTTCTGAGTCATGTCACTCCACGAATCACTTAGTAACAGGCCATAATGACTTTCTTTTCTCACCCTCAGAAATGTGTGCCTCTGGGACACTTTGGTTTCATCTGGTAACAGTCTTATCCATGGTAAGTACTGCAGTGAAAATTAAACCTCTGCTTCTTACTGACTAAGGAAATACAGTTTGTGAAAGTATTTAGTGCAAAGGAAAAAACCTTTACTGGGGAACAGGTCTAAGTATGTATTGCATAGGGAAGCATGAACCAGAACTGGTACTATACATTCTCTAGCATGATGTTAATCTCCTCTATATAAAAAAGTCGTAGGTCATAGAATCATGCAAAGGTTTGGCTTGGAAAGGACCTTAAAAATCATCCCTTTCCAACCCCCCCTACCATGAGCAGGGACACTTTCCACTAGACCAGGTTACTAAGCACCCAATCCATCCTGGCCTTGAACACTTCCAGAGATGGGAGAGTCCATAAGGTCATCCATAAAACTCCTTTTATGACAGTATTAATAAAGTCTAAAATATCTCGGTACAGTCCTGAAAACAAAACCTAACAGCAGACTAATTAAGGTTACATTATCAAACTCTTATGCTTTCACTTAAACTGGCACTTAATTAATATATCTCAAATTATAAGTTCAGCTGTGTATCTGTATTCTAAAATAAATTAGACTGCATATCATATTTTCTTGTGCATTAGATCTAGATAGCTCTTACATCAGCTGATAAGGCAGTACCTATATGAAGGAATGTATCTGTAAAATTAAAAAATATTCAGATAATAATTTATAGAAGAAATGCTTCTTAAGTGTGAAAGCTACTTACAGTTTCAAGTCTATTAAATTCTGACATCCTTCTTCTTCAGCCTTCACTTGTCATGACCACGGTGCCACAGTACTTCAGTATGCACCCAAGCATCAACTGCTAATTTCTGGAGGTAGGAAGGGATATATCTGCATCTTTGACATCAGGCAGAGGCAAATCCTTTTTACCTTCCAAGCCCACGAGTCAGCTGTTAAGGCCCTTGCCCTGGATCCTTCTGAGGACTATTTTGTCACAGGCTCAGCAGAAGGCAACATGAAGGTAAGGGATTGGAGAAGCTGGGTTCTATAGGAGAGGGTTGAGCTGAAGTAGTGTATATGTTGATCAGCATGTTGCAAATAGCCAGATAAATGCAGTAACAGAACAAAAACAAACCCAAAAAACCCAAAGCTACACTTGATATACAGGATGCTTACCTTACATTTATAATATAAACTTAAATATACTAGTAGCCTTCTAAAGCAAGTAGCTTTTGTCCTCCTCTAAATATTAGTCTTTTTAAAGTTGTGAGACTTTAATTTTAAGTGGATAAACAAAGTGCATGGTTCTGAAATCTTAGGTTTGTTTTTCCCTCTCTCTTAAAAATGTTCTGGTTTTGCCTTTGGACAATTCTTTGTAACACAGGGGGCGCTCAGCAGCTTCAACATTGTGTAAAGTTTTTGTAACACCAAGTTGTATTTTTTCTCTTGATGCCCCAGACAACTACTAAGATGTCAGAGTAGTAAGAAACAAACATCAACATCAAAACAAAAAAACCAAACCAGAAATACAGTCCCTGTTTTAAAGGGCTCTTTTCATGAATACTAAAGGAAGGAAATACAAGAACATGATAAAGAGAAGGAGAAAAAGATTTCTTTCCTTTTAGCTGGGCTGCAAAGTGTTTAGTAGGTGCTTTCTGTGCCTCTGCACAGATTGTGGCCTGGCCTTGATGAGGGCTCCTGCTGCTTAGGATACAACACACAGCCATGCTTCCTATGACTCTGCATGCTTAATAATTGTGAAGCTTACTCCCTGCAGCATTCCTTAGCAGGAAAGCACTTCCAGCAGCTGGAAAGCTGTCCATAGACATCTTGGATGAAAATGCAACCTTATTTCTGCAGCTTTCATGGGGGGAAGCTGGGAGTAGGACTCTGATCAGGTGCCACAGGGCAGCTTCACCCTGCCCAGTGACCAGCTGGTCCATGCTAAGGTAGCCTTACACTGCATCAAGAGCCTCCCAAGAGTCTTGGACGTGTAGTGATTGTTGCTACTAGACAACAATAAATATCCTTTATCTTTGCTGAATAGCATTTAGAACAACCAGGAATCTGAAACATTAGGGGGGAAAAATACAAATCCTTGAATTTTCATCTCCTTTTGTCATTCTTTTGATACAGGTGTGGAGACTGACTGGCTACAATTTAATTCACTCATTTAAAAATGAACACGCAAAGCAGTCCCTTTTCAGAAACATTGGTGCTGGTGTCACCCAGATTGAAACTGTGCAAGGCAACCGAATCTTCTCCTGTGGAGCAGATGGCACTCTGAAAATGAGGGTTCTTCCCAATGCTTTCAATGTACCTTCAGGCATTTTTGACATTCTGTAGCGTTATGTGAGCTAATCCTGGTTTTATATAATGTCCCTTTAAGTAGCTAAAAACACAGTGATATGCACTGTGGAAAGAAAACGTGTTTCCTTTCAAAGCAGTTACTGCAGCATTAAGTATTGTGGGGGAAAAGATATTTAAAAAAAACCCCAAACAACAAAAAAACCCAAGAAAACCAACGCTTTTACAATGGGTATATTTTGAATATGCCCATAAGGATCTGTGGGGTGGAAATGCATGTACTATATTGTGAAAGCAAAGAATTCAACTCAGTGCAGTTGGACAGAGAGGGGTTATACTTCAGTAACCCACAAGCTGCATTTAGTAAGTGTCTTGCAAAGATTCTGACAGTTGTCAGTCACTTAACAAGCACTGTGGCTCTACAAGTCAGTGAGCATTTCTGACATGATTCTGATTACTTTTATTCCAGTTTTTCTCACTAATTGAAGCATGTGTACAACTTCTCATTGTAAAATAGTTTAGTTTTAATTAAGGGTACTCAGTGTATTTGATTTTCGCCAGAAAGTGTAATGGATGCAAATGCCGTGGAACATGTGCAATCAAGGACGTACTGTGAGAGATGTATCATTTTATGCTGAGATTTTTTTTTTCCAGTTAGTATTATTGCACAGTTGATACTGTAACTTGCACATCAGCATATTTTTAAGTGCGATGGTTTTTAATTTTGCACACTATTTTCCTTTCTTTCTGAGAGCTATGTTTTCTATTGGACACCTGCCTTTACTTTAGGAATGTATTGTAAGCACTAAATGTTTGTAGTGAAGACATCCATCATTCTAGTCAGCTTTTAGTTTTTGAAGTCATTTGTCCAGAAAATACTTCATTAAATGAAGCTGTTAAGAGAATACCAATGGAACATATAATGCCACATTTCAGATGAATGTCAGGCTTTACGTGGCCAGCTAGTAAATAGTGGATAAAACTGGTAATTAAATTATTACCAGAGTATATTGTATAAACTATGCAGAGTTCAATATTGTTTGCTTGTAATATAACTAGCTACTGTTGTCAGATGTATTTTTCTGTTGTAAACAAAACCCATGTTCTTCAATGACTGGAACGGATGTCTGCGTATTTAAATGTTAACAAACTGTCTTATTCCTCCAATGAAAATTTTGATGTCTGTGCTGTATTGTAAGATATTCTAGAATAAAAAGCACCTTTCTCCAAAGGTGATTTTAAATTGCAGCCTATGAAGTATGAGAATTATGAGAAGAAAGAAGAGTAAGTGTCATTGTTTAGTTTTGCCTTTGTAAGTTAAATAAATTACTTTTATTTCATGGAACAGCCCATTCCAGAACTCTTGCTTATATTTAAACAGATTTATCTAAATCTCCAGTAGATTGACTGGATGCTGCCTAAGCTAGCTTTACCTTGACCTCAAACTGTACTGAGCTAAAAACTATTTTATTTTCAGCTGTTCTAGAAAAGCATAAGGTTAACGGGATTTAGTTCCATAGCTGCAAGAAGCACAGGCTGGTCCTGTCACTGAGAAAAGAGGCAGAATTTTCTGGCCTTCCTCCTCCAAGAGGTTGATCAACAACGTCATGCAGAAGTTCACCATGTTTTAAGATAGGCACACTATCTAGAACTGTGTTTGCCCAAGTATATTGCTGACTTTTAGAGGAGGGGTTAGCCAAAAAAGCTTACTTTATTAGTACCACAACTCAGTTTTTAAAACAACACCACGAACAAACATAAACATGAAAAAACTACCAAAAAAACCCACACCCCACAGAAGTCAAAAGCAGCCCATAGAACTGTAGCTCTGGAGTGTGAAGTGTCACATTCTTTATACAGGTATAAACAGAACTGTTAATCTATGAGTTTTTGTGCATATACTAGTTTAAAGTATTAATTATGATTTTTTGTTTTGTCTGCATCTCTCTCTTCTTTGTCTGCAAGGCCTTAGTGAAAACAGCAGGTATGCTGAGAAGAGACCCAACCATCACCGTATCACACACTGAAGTTTAGCTACAACAGAGGAATTTTTTCAGCTAGACAAGGTTCTGCAGGCACAGACATTCCCAAATTCATTAATCCCTTTGACAGTGCCTGGATGTCACACAGGTATTAAACACTTCAGTGCAGTTCAGGATTTAAATGACACTTTGCTTCTAAATATTTGGATGAGCTCCATGAACTTCAGCAATATGCACAGACAGCTTAGAAATTCAAGTAGGGGTTTTCCCAAGAGCACGATTTTGAATATAGATACACAAAACAACAGTAGAGATTTATGTCCCAATGTTGAATTTAGAAACCTGAAATACCAGAACAAAATTAAAAAGTTCCTATTATTTCTCAGCTCTAGCTCTCAAAAATTTCAGTGTGAATATGTAGTCTCTGACTTAAGATTAACAACAAATTAAGCCATTAAGCAGTATGATGAATACATGTATTCCTGCTTAAGCTACTTTATTTTTCTAAGAATAGCAGCAAAAACATATACCCTTCATTTTATGATTTCATTTGTATGGATGAATATGGGGACATTTTATTTTAGAAATATACCTTACTATAATTAAATACAATTATAAACAAGTTATAATGGTATAGTTTACATGACAGTGAGGGGCAAGGAAGAGGCTGCAGCAACATTCAAAATGCAAACACTGTTAAAAATGAAAATTTAATCATAAATGTTACACCTTCTCTTCAATTTTAAACCTTGGTACTTTTCTGCCAATTCTTCATTAATGAAACAAAATGTATATTCAGTACTTCATGTCATTATTCCTATTTTCCTTGTACTTTGGCTGGATTTTGCTTTTGATTATTAACAGTTGATTGAGCTCATCAAAGGGGAAGCTTTTCAGCTTTTTTTCTATTTAAATAACTCTTTCCATCCCCCTCATTTTTAACAGCTGTAAGCCTCTGTTCAGAAAAAAATCTTCACTGAGAATCCATGGAAATTAAATGAAAGTGACAAAGGTATTTGTACACAAAAGTTCATTATTTAGATATTTATACTAGACCATAATCACTGACTAGAAAATGATTGCAGAGAAGATGATCACAACTGAAAGTTATAAATAGTCTCTGCTGAGCACATGACCATGGAATAATCGATGTACATTAGATACAATTATCAGCTGAATAACAGGGAGAAACAAAAGCAAGTCTGTGCTAACTCTTTGCCAGCTGCAATAGTGAACAGCTATTTTTTAAAAAGATGAGGATGGCCTGTGTAACTGAAGTGTGTTTTATACAAAGGCACCTGATCTCACTTTTAGACACACTCACAAACCACCATCAGTAAACAGAAAATGATGCCAAGTGAAGAGACCCACATGTGTATGTCACAGAGCTTTAAATAGATTATTTAGACAAGCATGGCTCCCATACATGGCATGTTAAAATATTTTCATCTCCCAAAATGTACAGGGTACACCATTAAGCTCCCGTTCTCCCACGTGTACAAATTCTTGTCTCGTAGGCTGTACGAAAGCATAGCAAGAACAGACTGTGAAGACCGTAATTCAAACCTTGCATCAACCTGCTTCCCTTGCAGTAAATCAAAAGCAAAACTTACTGTCATGTCCTTAGTGTCAGTAACATAAATAATGCCACATGCTATGAATGCATTACCAGCCTTGGACTTTGGATACGTGGTGTTGATGTGCTGAATGACTGAAAACGTTTCTTCATCAATATGTGCTACCATTATGTTTTCATCAGTGCTCGAGGCATAGATAATCCAGAGCCCCTTCTCATCCACTGCTATGTTGAAATACGTCTTGGAGTTCGAGAAGAGGTAGTTGCGCCCGTGGTGTAGGGCATTCTCAATGAGCAGAGTGCCCAGCGATGCTCTGTCGAGCCCAAATCTGCAATGAGATACAGTGAGGACTCAGTGCACTGGGTTAAAGTTCATTGCCATGCACACGGGTTGGCTGAAGCAATTCCAAGTGCGTTACTACTGATAGAAGCGTTGTTGAAAGCACTTGAGTTCAAGGACCATTCTGATGTCTTTTAAGATCAAGTTCTCAAAGAACCTTCCAAAACACTAGGAGAAAATTCCAAAGTTATAACCAATCTGAGAGGTGCATAAGAGCATGGACTTGCTTTGGTAGGTTTCACTTTATTTAGTCTGTGAGCTGTATTATCACTTGGATGAAAGAAGCAACTAAAAGGAACGGATATGAAAAAGAATTGGACACCAAGTGAAGGCCCAGACTTGTGAAATGGAATCTGTATTTAAGTTTGCTTTTGACTAGAACTAAGGGGAGAAAATGTGAGTGATGAAAGCAGCTTAAATTCTGGGCAGGTTCACCTGGTCTTAGAGTTCTTCTTCTGAAAACAGTTCAGATAACACAGTGATTTGGTCAAATAGACATCAAAGGAATAAAAATTCTACTTTTGCAGAGCCAAAATTCTGACCTCATGCTGGCCTCAACAGGACAGCCTGAATGCTTCATCTCTATAAAGTTGTTTTCATTCCTTGAAATTCCTTAGGATGATGATAATCTGAGGGCAGCAGCAGTGAGCAACTAAATTGTGTTCCTCTACTAGAGGCTAATCAGCTTCTATTGAGACACATCTGCAGTTAGCATTTAACCACCAAATAACACCATGCTTTAGCAAAGGCAGGGGGAGAACGTTTAATCTGTTTAAATAGTGCCCTCTATAAAGAAGCACATTTCATGTCTGACTTCCATCTAACTGTATAGCTCCATTCTTCCAATAGAGGAAGAAAAAACGTTATTCAATACAGGAATCTGCTACACTTACAAGTTTTCTGAAAAGACAGGCTTAATTGCAGGAACATTTCAGATCCAGGAACTTATAATAGAAGGAAGAATACTGGAAGGATAATTTTTCAGTCTAAAGGGCATTGATAGCATATACTGGAAACATCATCATAAGAAAAATAAAGAATGACCAACTTAGATACTTTCCCTCAGCTTTGGAAAACTCACATCTGCAGCAACTCCATATTCCAGAAGCATTTATGTGCAATAAAAGAACTCTTCAAGGCTGGAGAAGATTTGAGAAATGTGTGTCAACCCAGTTAATCTTGTTAGTTGCTTCATGTTTGTAAATAACCTCATGCAAGGACTAGAAGGACAGCCCTTGACTGGAATAGTCACTCAGAAATGCAGTTTTTCTTCAGGATTTTTTTCTATAAAGAGCCAACAAGGAAAAAACCACCTCAAGATTCATTAGAAAAGTGCAAGATCTGCAACACACAACTGTCTTTTCCTGTTATATGTGAAAATCCTGAAAGGAGCAGAAAAGTGAAGTTTCATTCCTGTGAAGTTTCATTCCTGGGATTCTCTTGGGCTCCCCAGTCAAGGACAGTCTGCAAAATTCTTTAATCATCTGACACCTTGGGGTCAATGACAACATACAGTGTAACACTTTCATCAACTGCAGAGAACTCAAGCTGCAAACACTTTTCTGATCACTAATAGCAGTGAAGTCAACCAAAAATACCAGAGGTGAGAAAGCATGTTATGAAACAATGTCAGGGATCTGACCATCATGAGAAAATCTGCCAAAGGTCAGACAAACCTAGTTTTGCCAGCTTCTAAATATGACAAGAAACTCCTTTTAAATATTTTTTTTCAACATTTGCAAGATGAGCCAACCCAATCCTCACCCATTCCTTCCATTAAATCAATACAAAGAAAGCTTTTACGTAGCCCAAATTCAAGGAGTTCACTGTCATAAAATTCACTGTCATAGAATTCATAGTGCCTCATTCAATCTGTGCTGAAGACAAATAATCTCAGAGTGAATAACTGAACAGAAAGGCCATTTCTCAACAGCTCCTTAGAGAGGTTTTAAAAATTCCACAAATAGTTCGTGTTCTTCTGTACATGAAAGCATTTCTCAATTAATGGTACCCAAGCAAAGCTGAGGAATCTCTACCCTATCACTATGTATTGCTTGGGCTGTGATGATCTTTTACAGAAAAAAAGCCTAAAGGTATTTAAAGGAGGTTGCCAGAAAGTGAGCTTGTCTTTGCAGAATAAATATTATAGAATCCACAGAGCTTGCTCACATTCCTTGGCATCCACATGAATATAGAAAGGCAGCACTCACACCTGCTTGGGAAAAGACATCAAAGTATAGTAAATGTTCTTGGCTTAAACATCAGGGTCGTGTAAGAACTTGAAAGCACACGCAATCTTTCACTTGCCCTTGGACTGTCTGTCTTTGGCTCTTCCCACAAGGTGAGATTTTGGTTTTGATTTGTATTGTCTGTCTCTGTCCTCAGGAGAAACTGAAACAGAGACGTAATTCCCAGTTCCAGTTCAGGGACACACATCGGGAGAGTTGTAGGAACTTCTTATTACAAGGAAATCAAACATTGGAGCCACTCCTCCCCAGTGGAATGTACAATTCACCAGGTCACCACGTCCTCAGCTGGTGCCTCAGTGCATTCCTCTGCTCCAGCATCCAGCAGCATCCACTCCTGGGCCAGCTGAAAGCAGAGCACGCGGCAGCCCGGAGAGCAGCTCTGCAGAGCCACCCCCTGTGCCTCCCAGACTGCAGCTGAACCAGTTCTTACTCAGGTGCAGGTAGATGCACAAGTTATTTTTCTAAATCAAATGCCTTTTTCTGATATCCAAATTCCTTAGTCAGTTCTCATTTCTTTCTTGCAATTATGAACACAGGAAAGAATCCAAGTTGAAGAACACCCACAGCAATGTAATGTACAATAGAAACCTGTTGGACCCCAGGATAACCAAGAGAAAAATCTGTTGTCATCTTGAGGCCCAGTTGCCCTACCACATAGTAACTGCAGAGGTGAACCCCTTAGACACAGTTCAGCTCTGATGCCCAAAGAACTGTCACAGCAGAGTAGTGGACCTGGGCTACCCTCCCAGTTTCCCTCCTTTTGCTGCATCTGCACACACAAATGGAAGGCTGGTGGCCCACACTGTAGTTACAGATTGTAAAGAATGAGTTTTTCTATTCTGGAAAGAGTTCTGAGCCATTCCACCATTCTTCCTATTCTAGTTAGGATCAAAAAGAAACACAAAACAGTACAAGGAAAGTTGTCTGCTTTTCTGAGGTTCACCTCTGTCACTTTAACCCACTGCTCCTCCTTCCACACCATCACTTGCTTTAAGACAACTATGCTTGACTTACTTCAGAATGACATTGGTTCCTCCCTTCTGATAGTACAGATGATTGTTTTGTACTGCATGACCACATCCATAAAAGAATCCCGTGATGTTAATGATCCTGTAGCTGTCATTCAGCAAGGCATTGGAATTCTCATATTCTTTTATAGAGTTTCCTAAACAAAAGGGAAAACATGAGAAAAATAAAGGACTATCATCTGGTTCATCTAATTTTGAAATCTCTATTCTAAAATTCAGTCTTCAGTAAAAGTCAGTCTCAATCAATCTGACAGGTAACAATTGTATGTGTGTTTTCAATAATGATTCATCTTGCTGAAATGTGAAGAAGTAATCCAGAGACACAAACAAAAAAAAATTTATAGGAGATGAGCAAGAGCCTGTTTCCCACAGACTTAATGGGTCTTCATTCCAAACACAGTTGATATATATGCAGAAATATTTCCTTTTTCCACTTAGGTCCTGGGCATTTTCGTGCTCTTAATGTAGCTAATGCAGAAACTGATTCATTTTCATGCCTGGCTAAATGAAAGAGCAAAACTCCTAGCTACAATTTAGGGAAGTAAAGCCATAGAAAAGAGAAACTCTTGAAAGAAAAGAATAAAACACCATGATCAACAGGCATTTCTATTTGGATTTGTTAAAAAAAAATAAATAAACTGAAAACTTCAAACTATTTTTAAAATCTGACGTTGGCTCTCAAGATGTCTGACACTACAAATGCCTACAACCATATTTATAGACAAGTTTTATACAGGTAATATGGAAAATACTCTGAAAAAGATATGGGTAAAACCCCATTACACTTATTACTTTAGTTTGAAGGGATTAAGGAAGCAGTGTCAGTATAACAATGGATTTTTGCTTATGACTACTACTAAAAATACCTAAGAAATGCATGGTAAGCCAAATCCTTTCATCACTTATATTTGCAGGCTCCCGCATCCAAGTTCCAAATGTTTGCTGAACGCTGACAAAGTGAACAGGACTTCCCACAGATGTTATGACGCATTCTAGTAGAAAAAAAAGCACATGTCCATGATCTGTGACACTAAAACAGCAAGTAGCACTTAGTCATGCTCTGCAGCAGCTTACCAGGTTTTTTTGAAGGACCAGGGGTTCTGTCTTCAGCTTTTCCAGCCAGGGTGTCATCATTTGGTACAGCACACTCACCTGGAGTTGAGGGAGAAATGGTAAAATATGTCATTTTTCTCTATTTGACATGACAGACAATAGACATTTCTCTATTTGACATGCTCATGACAGATGTGCACATCAGTGACTCCACTAAAATAAAGGGATGACAACTGGGATTTTGTTTCACCTGAGAAAAAAGTCTGCTTAGGTTGGTCTGGTCAAAAAATGAGATTAGGAAAGATTTGCTCTCACTCCTCTCATGGAAATGAAATGTTTGGGTTGGTTTGTTTCCTTGAGGTTGTCAGGCTGACAGTGAACTTTGAGGAGTAACTAATTAAATCAACAGATTTAATTCCTTAGCTATGAATTCCTGAGAAGCTGCTTAGAAAGACAGTTGCCCTCTTTTCCTTAGATAACTTTGCACAACTGAGGTAGCTGGAAAACGGCTGTTTTCGCAGTAATACCAAAAACATTTTCCTGGAATGAGTGATTGTTAAACTCAAAAGCATCATTCCCAGATAGCCACACTCCAACCCAAGACAGCAATAAAGCACTAACACATACACTGAGCACAAAGATGCATAAGATTGCAGCTCAGCCACCCATGCCACAGAAGCAGCAGTGTGAAAGACTGAGGGAAATGGTGCATTATGATACTTACAGGCATAGAAATGTTTCACATTAGAAACAAAGACCTGAAAACATTTTTGCCCACCCCTCAACAGCATGAGGAGCATTGGTTGGATTTTCCCTTTGAGTTTACCATTAAAACAAGGTCTGAATTAAATTATTTATGGACCTTTTTCTGCAAAACCAGGTACGTCTTCTGCCCTTGAAACAACGCTACACTTTTCAGTTTGCTTAGCAGGAATAACCACAGAGAACAGGTCTCAGCTTTTTGCTGAAGATATCCTTATTTCATTGTAGCCTTGTTTTCTAATTCCATTCTTAACTTTTATCTCCTTACATATTGCACACTGCTTGATATACAAGCTGCAAATTCTTTTTAGACACATATTCTTCTTGTTTCTTTGCCACACGTTTCTGGGACTTACAGATCTGTGCTGAAATTTAAGTGAGAAAGATAGTAAAAATATGAAATAAAGTAATGCTGAAAGGGCACCATGACATTGAGGAAAGAAAGGACAGATTATACTGAATTGTTGTTTTTTCCTTTAGGTTGTGTCCTCTCTTTGCTCATGCGGAAGAAAACTACTCCAACATGAAGCAAGAACAAGATGTATTTCTCCCGTCCTTTTATCTAAGGCATTTGGTGAAATGACATTGAAAGTTTGCAAGCGATCACAGTGTATCTCCAAAAAAGGCCTAAACAGTCAACCCAACCATGGTAAGCTCAGCGCCCTATAGCTGGAATCTACCAATCTCTCTGGATCCTTTCCAGCTTCTGGTCACAAAATATTGTCAGAACATCTCAAAAAAGGAACCCACTCAGCAGAAATCATAAATTGCAAGGTACAAGTTAATTTTCTTGGGCTGAGTCTGATAGATGCAGTTGACTGGATGAGCAGTTCCCTGTACAGTAGTTTATCTAAGGCTGCAGAGCAGTCAGGGAGCAGGTCAGTGCAGCAAAGCTGAGTGCACTGTTTGTGTTTGAGAATAGCTGCAGTACTCTGAGGGCCTTTCAGCTGCATCAATCAGACAGCAACTCAAATTAAAAAGACAGTTTTCAATCAGAGACTCCTATGGGAAATTTTCATTACTTTCTTTCCATCAAAAAAACAAGACAAATGTCCTACTGATTCCTATCATAAAATGTTCTGGTTGAGAGTTAGTGGAGTTTACAAGACATTAAAACTATTGATTTGGTCTGTTGGAGGAGGGATGGAGCAAGGCAGTTTGGAGTAGAGATGTTTTGTTTCTTTTAGAATTCACTAACAGTACCATTGAGAAAAAATACACCCGAGCTTTCAACTAATTATTCTCTTTTTTGAAGAAAAAAAAGTTTTACCCAATTCAAAATTTAATTTGAAGAAACCAGTCTTGTATTCTTATGTAATAAGTTAATTACAGTTGTAAATCAGTATGTGTATTCTCTTTCCTTGAAAAGGATATGAATATTTAATTATAAAAACTGGATTATTCTTTGAATTTTGGTAATAAGATCTCATGGCTTACTAAGTCATAAAACATAAAAGCTCTGAGAAAGATCTCATCTTTGCAGAGGTATTTGACTGTAACTCCCATTTGCACACTGAGATTTCAAATCCATCAGAAATCCATCAGAAGGCTTATCCTGCAAAGCACTTCAGGCTGCTTCAACACTTGAGAAGAGGCCACATAAGCAAATGGCCCAATTATCTCCTATAGTACTTCATGCCTTTCTGAACTTCAAATAGGATGAGATTTCTGCTCCAGCTCTCTGCTTTCTGTTGTAGGGAGTCCCTCTGGGCTCTGTTCAGATACTTCAATATCCAGAATCAGGGTGATGTATTTACATGTAAAATTAAAGAGTCAGCACTTAAAAGCCAAAAATTTTGACTGCATTTCTCATACTTTCCATATGTATCCCATCTAACAGAAAAACAGTATTTTTAAACACTTTGCCTGACCATTAGCATAGCACAATGAAAAGACTAATATTGTACAGGTGGTAACTTGCTGCCTTATTCAAGCCATATTTCAGTAAAACACCTAAACGCATATTCAGCTTTCAGTTTGCAGTTTTACTGATGCCAAGCAAAATTAAACCTGTGTTTACTGTTTTGTGACACTTGAAGCAATGTTTTAATCTTGAACTAGTTCATAATACAAAAAAGAACACTGGGGAGAACTAACCTGTGCATGTGCTGCTGCATGTGTTCTCCTGAAGCTCTGCTTTAGCTTTACCTTTACGTTTACCTGGAGGCCCGGGGGGTCCAGGTGGTCCAGGGGGCCCTGGTGGTCCAGGCTCACCTTTTGCACCTGTGTACAAAACAGAGTCCTGTCACAGGCCTTGCACAGACAACAGGCAACCTGCAGAGAACCATGTGGCAGACTTGGAGACATCTCTAAAACAGCTTCTCTCTTTCTTAAGAGGTTTCTGAGTACAGAAATACGGTGCAATACACACTGGAATGCTGGTTGTTGGAAGCTGAACCATAAAGAATTTCACAAGGTGTAGGTCATCAGTGCATTTTATCTGTCTGGATTACAGGCACATTAGAGAGCTGTAAAGCACTGCTGCCTTTTACTCACTGTATTCTAAGACCTCAACTTCAGATGCTACATTGCTATAATTTTACACAGTTTATATTTGGCTGCTTCATGTATTCCTGAGTGGATATCTGACCCTCATTTTCTAATAGAGAAATAAAACCACACTGAAAGAAAGAGCAGGAGAAGGTCAGCTGTCTGGAAGTGTATTGGAAAGGGTGGAGTTCACAAACACCTCAGCCTAAAGCCCAAGCAGAAAAGTTTTTGTGAAGACTTGCATTACAAAGAGAACAATCTCCTGGGCACAGCAGTACTCAAACTTCACTGTGTGTGTATACCATATTTACACTGTTTGGCCCTGCTCTTGCACATCACATTCACACTGCAGAAGTGGAAGGTATCTTTTTCTGTCAAGCACACTGTTGCAAGAGAACTCCCAAGAGCACTTCTTCATACCTTCTAATATCACATCATTGCTTGCATCCCCCTTTTCCCCCTTGGCTCCTCTTGCACCTTTTACTCCTGGCATACCATCCTTGCCAGGTAAACCCATTTCTCCAGGTTCTCCTTTCTGTCCTTGATCACCTTTTGGTCCTGGCAGACCTAGAAATAAAAAACATTTTAGTACCAAGAACTCTACTCCAGCATTAAGCACCAATTAATACATATTTTTACTGTAAACCATTATTTTTTTTCACCTGTATTTAGTTGGGTAGCTGTAATTTGTCTGGATTTCAAAGAAATGTTGTAACCTAATATGAAGGGAAACTGTGCAATTTGTCTGGTGCAAATAATATATTCTCTACCTTGTGATCTCTGAGTTTTGAACACGGATCACACAGGCCTGGGCCTCATTAACACTGGCAGGAGAATTTCTGGATAAGTAGAAATACTGTGGAAAGATGTGAGGTCATACCTTTATTTCACATATGTAAGACATTGAAGAAAGGCATTGTCATAGCTCATCTAGGGTTTTTTTTCAAAGTAATTAGGCACAAACTTTACAACACACATTGCACTTTTAACTTTTCCCACTGTCCCAACAGAGCATAGATACAGCTGCCTAGCAATGCTTTCCGTGGCTGTTATAACTCTACACTTGCTAAAAGCATGATTAGCCCACATACTTTTTGCACTTGATCATGTAGTAAATTCATATATTTAACAAGATATTCCTTTGTCCCTTGTGATTTAGTTCTGCAATAGGAAAAAACATGTGTTTGTACAACTGACACATCCAAACCCTCCACCCTCTACTTTTGTGTCAGTTACTATTTTCTCACTTTAGGAGAGAGAAAAATAACAGTTTACAAATAGAAATGTCAGTGTTCTTGTGGGCATAGATTTCAAATAAATTACATTCGTTAATACTTGAGAAGAAAATGTTTGTTTTTCTACTATGGTTTTACTACTGAAATTGATTTTGCGTAATCAGAAGCAGAACTGCAGTTTGTGGTTGAAATCCAAAATGTGCCTGGCACAATTGCCACGTGGCTCTCTGAAGACTGGTTCTCGCTTTCATTTCCAATTTTAAAAATTCATTGAGGATACTGAAGAGACAGAACACATGTTGTCTCAAGGTACAGTAGGCAATTGTTCCACTTATACCTGCCAGCGAGTCCACACAGCTCCATGTGAAAAGCCCGAATAATAGATGGGTCACTACAAACACCAGCCTGCACACCGGCCTGTCTGCTCATCAACACACCCTTCCTCTTCTCCCTGCTCTCTCAATTCCACCATTCTGATGCTCTTCTGTCCCTTCCCCTCCTGCTGCTTTCTCCCTCTGCCTTGGAGGCACCAGTTATCCATCAGCACTTTCACACAGCTTGTGTGCCCCAGGTAAATCAGTGGAGAAACCAAGTACTGCTTTAAGACCTCACAGCAGTGAATCTGGAATCAAATCTGTGGTAACATATATAACAACTTTCACCCCCAAACTCCGGCTTTCTTTTTAAAAAGTCTGAAGTCAAGGGCTGTGATGTTGGCAGGTTGAGGGAGTAGATATAATCTTACAATAACAACAATTACTAGTGAGTTCAGAATACAGATATTCAATTAAGTGAGTTCAGTAATTTTAGTGTGCAATATTCTATGGTGTATATATATATCATCGTCCTCACTGTAGAGTAAGTCTGAACAATCTGCCAAAGCTTAGTATGAGACAATGAATGTTACAGAATTCTGTAACATGCACCTTCTTTGTAAACTTTGAAACCCTTCTCCCTGTACAAAGGTCTACAAGAAAGAACATCTGAATATAGCAGTAAAAAAAAAAAGATTGTTTTTTTAAATTAACCATTTAAAAAATACCTATTTTTCCTCTTTTTCCATTTAGTCCTGGTTCTCCCTTTTGTCCTGGTATGCCTGGGACTCCATCTGATCCATTGTAGCCAGGCAGTCCATCAAGTCCAGGAGGCCCTGATGAAACCAAAGAGCACAACTGAATTTTCACTGCTAAATGCAATTTATCCCTAAATCTACTATATTTACATGCAGTATGTTTTTATATATATACTTGAAACCTGGAAAAACATAACTCATACTTTTCTGATACAGAGAACTACTCTAAGCAGACTCACAGGTAAAGCAGCACACAAAGAAAGCAAGTACACATTCATACAGCAACACTTGAGTGAGAACAGGGAGAGAGAATTAAATAAGAAAGGAGGAAAAGCCATGGGGGAAGTGTGTAGTCAGTAATCAATATTTTTAAAGAGATGTTAAATTACAATATCTGTTTATTCTGAGTTTTTTTAATATATAGCCTCCTCTCTTCAGCTAAATGCTACTTAAGCACCCTTAATTCCATTTGGTTTTGATTAAATATTCTACTCCCTTCACTAGAAAATTATAATTTCTAAAACCTCCCCTGCCTCAGAAGGGGCACGAGCTGACCTATATACAAAAACTATAAAGGCAGGCGTTCAACCTTCCCTCATGCTAAATAGAAAAGGAAAAGTATTTTGTGAAAGATGCATTTCTACATTTCAACATTTTGTAGCAGCAACTGTTTTTATTACCTCAAAATGTTACTGAAATTATCCAAGTATCTTACCTGGGGGACCTGGAGGGCCTGCAGTAAGAAAAAAAAAAAAAGGAAGAAATGGTGAATTTAACCCACCAAGAAAACAAAGTAATTCCAAATTGAACTGATTACCATTAGATCAGAACAGTAAAAGGGGATGAAAACTCCTCAAATTTCAAAATTAACATCTAGCTATTTAACTGCTTTGTATTATAAATAACTATCTGAGCATTAGCAGTAGCTCAGACAGTGAAAGAGAATCCTTCAACACAATTACATATACACATTTTGCTTTTTTCAGATTTCAGTTGATAAAGGTTTGACAAAAAACCTCTACAGTGAAATCTCACTGTCAGGGGCTTCAGTGCCTGCACAAAGCCATGGATGCAAGGCACTTAACAGTTATTACATTTCCTTCACTTAAGTGTTCTCCAACAACCTGTTATAGCAGAAGATTAGTAGCTTTGCAATACTGCTGAATGGGACAATTAAAAAATCTTGTTAAAAATACACCACATGCCACACTGCTCTGTGTTTTACAGATATTTCATTGCCACTCAGGCTATTTAAATTTTAAAAAAAGGCAGGGGGAAGGGAATGTTTGGGGAGGGGAGATTGTATCATTCCTATTAACTACATCTAAATCCCAATCAGGCTTTTCACATGTGATTGTTCTCCAGCCTGGATTGAGCTTCCCACAGAAACTGCTTGGTGCATTAGAACTGGAACTCACTTCAGGTATTCAACAACACTGAAACCTTAATGTCTTAATGTCTCTGACACAGCTCAGATAAAGGGCCCTAATGAGAAGCAAGCATAGCAGGCAAAAGTAAAGCAAGACTAAAAGAGAAAATGTTTCTGATGTTTCTGTAACAAGATTTATCTTCTATGATACCCAGTACACATTAAAAAAAAAATCTTTAGGAGAATACAAAGAAAGGTGGAAGTTGCAATTAAAGAACCAAATTAGTTCTATGAACATTGTTATCCAGCCAAAGTACTCTTGCTTCAGCAAAACTCTCTACAACAGAAAATAACAGTAATTATTAGATTTCCCTAAAGATGACCATTTTCAGCATTAATTACAAAGTAAAGTGAAAACCATCTTACAATACCATTATAACAATTATCCCTTTTAATCAGTACAAGCAGTAACATCAGTTAACATCGTTACCATTTCTCTAGCAAATGGCCATTTTTTCCACACTACAGTGTTACATCCTATTAGTGCATTCACTTACTTCCTCATCCACAAAACTGAGGCTCTTTGTATAAGCAAAAAATAGATAAGAAAGGTGCTTGAAAAGCAGCAAATGACACTAGGGCCTATAGCAGAGAAAGCCAAGCATTTAATGGTGTTCAGAGACAAGAAGGTACAGAAGGCACTCAGTAATGTGAATTTACAAGTCCTAAGCCCAAAGAAGCAAACTTTTAGACTGTTTGGGTTTCGGTCTGTTACAATCAGAACTGACCTACAGCTTCAGAAGTAGTATTTGATATCTGTGTGTACTATGTAGTTCTCATTTGTGTTGAATCAGTGGAGTCAAATGGACCTTATAGCCATTTGAAAACTCAAATCAGACAGCAAATGAAGCATCTTTAACTCATAAAAAATTGACTTCTTCCTAATCTACTTTTCAAAAATAACATGACTGATTCTGTGATAGACTTCAAAGCTGGACAGTTGCTCTTAAATTGGCTGCTCCCTGAGCTCCTCACCAAATCACATCAAAACTTCTCACACCTTTTCTTGTCCCAACCATGAGCTGCTCCACTCCTCCCTGGTAAGATGTGAAACATCCTGTAGCCGTGGGTCCAATGCAGCTGAGACAAGGTGTTCATCCAAGTCCCACTGCTCCACTGCAGTTGCAACAACAGGAGTGGGTTTCTATACCATCTATGTTCATCCCATGTTAGGTTTCAAGTGTGGCATGCACAAAAATACCATGATTAAACCTCAATTAGTATTTTAAACACCCAAGTCTGAGAGATTTGTTTATGAAAATTACATGGAAAAGAAATAGTTCCAAGTAACATCAGCAGAGCTCCTTAAATTCCAGCATTTGTATTAAATGGGTACAGATAAGTCCCAAAGTGTCACCTAGTACCTTTTTTTTAAAATTCTGATAGAGTAAATAGCATAGTTCTTTGACACAGTTATTGACCTCAGGTTCTTTGAAAACACTGTATTTCTGTGTTCCTGAAGGTCACAGAGGTGCAATGCTTAAGGCAATAAACATACCTGTTAAGCATATCCCTTTTGTGCTGTTACATAAATCCACCATCACTCGGACCTAATATTGCAAAGAAAGTAAAGTTGAAAACAATGTACTTCATAAAAGTGTCTGGTTCACTTTACCTACAGAAACAATTTCAAAAACAAAGATACAACTGGCCACTTTGTTAATAAGAATAAACTTTTCAGAATTACCTTAACACTGTGACACCATCCACCTCATCAGACTGTTTCTCTCATAGGCATCTGTTCAATACACCTCATATTAATCCTTACTGAAAATATGAATAAAATATTGGCCAGACAACTCCATACATCATCTAGTCATCAAATTTCACACATTACTGTAAAACATGTATTAAAACATGTATTAAAAGCCAACATCAGCCAATAAAAATTGCATTAATTTTATTTTATATTTTCATCAAATGATGGAAACTTTTTCAACATGGCACATTAAGGCAGAAAGGTGTCCTATGTTCCAAATAAGTGATTTCCTATCTTTGAATAACCAAGATCTGCAAATTTGAAATGGACCTTCATCCACTCAAAATAATTCATCACAACCATGACAGACTTTATAAAACCAAGCTGGAAGACACATTCATAAAGATGTTCTTAATCTAGAGTGGAATAAAATGTATCAATTAAAAAGTCATCATTACAAAATACACGGCTCTTGGCTGGGCAAATATTCACTTTACATGTCCTGCATGCTGAGAGTCAACACTCTAAAATATTTTGCAACTCATCAAAACAACCAGCAGAAATAAGGATATCGTGAACATGTGCACTGACAGTGCCTCAGCTCTTTTGTGGGAAAGTCTAATGTTTACAACCAGGAAATAAAAAGGTCATTACTTCAGGGTTGTGCAATATATAATAATTTATGAACCATTTACCAAGAGTTTCACATTTATTCATCTTTGTACAATTACTCTATTTACAAATAATGGAATACACTAGTCCCAAAGGACAGAACAAATAAGTGCAAGGCAATCTGAAAGGCAGATTGAAGTTTAATCCTAGAAAGGTTATTTGCCACTGTCAATCATAATTTTTAAAATTAACGCATCATTAGTTTCAGCTGACAAATCTAACAGACTCAAAGAAAGGACAATTATTTTGATGGCAAGGATTCTTTTCCTGAAAAACCAAACCATACTTGAGAATGGGTTCCTGTTCTGCCTGACACATACTGTGAAGGTACTGGATTCCAGACTGGACTGGAAAAGCTCTTACATTTAGAAATTTAGATTCAATTTAAATTAGCTGAAAAGTGCTAACTGGTTTTGAATATCAGGCTTGTTCTCTTTCCCCTCACACTCCTCAAAAATACTTGTCTCCTACCTTCTAATTTGTAAAATATACATTGTCCATGTGTACTCTAATTCTAACTGCATTTTAATTAAAATAGTTCTGTTGAGGTTGATGAAGTGATCACAACTTGCTTTGGGGCCCTCCAATTACCTCAGCAGCACTACTTTTACCATTCAGTGCAACTCAGGTGACAATTAAAAGGACATGGCACTCAGGAAGTGCAAATAGACTATATCAGAACCTCCAGCTTAGCAATGACAGATGAGTAGACTGTTCAATCAGCCAGCATCATCACTAAGAAAAGCTACAAATGAAAGTAGCTTATTCAAATGCTAGAAATTAAGTTTTCTCACAAAGAAACTGAAAAAAATTAAAAAGAAAGAAGACTAAACTATGCAACAACTACTCAGATAATTGGTAGCCCCCATAAGCCACCACTTCTTGCACTGTCTTAAATCACACTTTGAAACCTACTGGACTGTTACCTTTGTGTCAGTCTTTCTGCACCAACAGATTTGCCAGTTTCCTATTTTCTTACAAAATAAGTATATGTAAACACAAATACAGAAACAATAGGCCCAGAACGAAAAATATACTCATGTTATCAAAGCTAAAATATGGGGCTTGATGCCTAAGGTTATTTTAAAGATCCTTGAGCAGTGGCCACAGCAGATCTCCATGAGCAGTGGGACACTGACACCTGCAGAAATTGGTGCTTCCACCACAAGACAGAACCCGCTCAGGCAAAACCTCCATTCGGGGCCCACATTCAGCAGGGGCTGGAACGTTGTTCCAAGACCCACCAGTGTAACAGGGGTCATCTCACCAACTCTGAGGAACTTTGTCTCACAGTACAAAAGTAGTCAAGCCTTGAAATTAACTTAGTGGGAGTTATATTCAACACACAGAAATGCAGGAGTGGGAGGAGGGGGTGCTTGAAAATTTTTCTAAGGGCACCTTTTTTCTCCTTGAGCAAGTGAGTCTGCACACAGTCACACACTCCTCTGAGCAGCAGCCAGAAAAATGTTTGATGGGAGCTTTGTAAGAACAAAAAGGCATGACCACCACCCCCCAACAACTCCCTGCAGGATACATTTAAATGAAGCACATGCACACAGCAGTAGTCACAGTGGACATTTAAAGGCACAAGTGCATATTCTGGTCACATGCTGTTAAAATACACAGCACGTGCTTGGTTCTATTTGGAGAGGGTAATAAAATTAATGTAATCTGTGTGTGGTACCTAATGACAGTGAAATAGCACATTTAATGGCCACTGTCAAATTTTCCAGGCATCCAAGTGCCACTAAAAATCCAAAAAAGTCACTATCAAAACTCTCTACTCTACAGTCTCGTAAGCTCTAATATTAAAGGAGTAGTTATCACTATGAACTGATGATTACAATAATTTATTAACAAAACACGCCAACAAAACATTACTGAAGAGGTATTTTCTGCACATAATTTTTAAAACCAGTAATATTAATGACACGAGTAAGAGCCTGAGTTAACCTCTCTTGCTTTTTTTTGTGGACCTATGCCTGCAGCCCTTACTGGGACAGAATTTCCATTAAGGTTCTCTCAATAGCAATATTTTTCTTGCATTTCTTCTAACTCAGAACGTAAAAGCTTTTCAATCTATTTAAAATTTTTCAGCTATGTGACCTGTTTCCTACTGAGAAAAGATAATCTTTTCACTGACGTGCAAAAAACTATGCCAGTTTTGCCAGAGAGAAAGGACATACAGTTCTCCTGACCCATCAAATACCACCCTAAATTTAACCCTTACTGAAAGAGCACTATCAATTTCAAAGAAATCAAAATCAAATCAAATGAAATTTCACTGATAAAGTGATGTCCAGTACCTTGCAGTGAGATGTTGAACAGCAGAAAACACAGAGGGGTTCTGCTTGTGGTGTTAGTTTTAACCTGAAACCTTGGAAAGTGGTAACTTAGAAACTCACTTATTGCAACTAAGTTTTTGAAGTTACACGAAATCCAAAAGTTCCCTCCATTTGTCTGTGTAACTTCGACTTGTAAAGTTTAACGGCAACCTCAGCTCTGTGGCCCATCAGCTCTGTCGTCTCAGCATTTACAGACAACAGTAGGAACCTCTGGCGCGAGATTCCAAGCATCAGGTGGGTGTGTTGGCTCCAGGTAAACCCCACCGCGGCCGGAGCGGGACGGCCCCGGCAGGGCAAACCGCGGGGCTGGCGGGATCCTCCGGCTACAGCCGGGACCAGCGACTGTCCCAAATCCCCCATCCCTCGGTGGCACCCCAATCCCGGCGGGGCCGTACCGGCACCATGGAGTAGGTCAGCATCATCAGCATCTCGTCGCTCTCGGCTCGCACGGTGCCCCGGCCGCGCTCCCCGCGGCGGCTCCGCTTGGTGCGGGCGGCGGGGGCGGCGGGGCCGGGCTCGCCGGCAGCCCCCGCACGCGAACCGTTCCCCCGCCCCACCGCCTCCAGCTCCGCAGCGCCGCGCCCGAGCTCCCGCCACCTGCAGCCAGCAGGAACAAAGGCGTGCCCGCCGCGCCTCACGCCGACAGCAGCCCCACGGCCGCCAGCCAGGGAGGGGAGCCCAGCCCGCCGCCGCCTCCATCGCACGGGCACGGCGCGGACGCCGCCGGAGAGCATTTATCCCCAGGGGTGCTGCGGAAGGGGGCCCAGGGCAGGGGAAGGGGGCACGGGGCCACCAAGCCCGGCCGCCACCGTCCCCTCCCACACCAGGGCTTGGCATCCATCCCGCAAAGCCGGGCAGGACCGGGAAGCCGCTCTCGGTCACAGCCCGTGGTCAGGCGTGACTTTTACATTGCACATGGCCTTTTCCAGCTATCAGGATTCTCCTTGACTTCATCCCCCAAAGTGGTGGTGCGAGCAGTGACAGTCACTGGTAAAAGCCCCTCCGTTACACAGATCCTGTCACCCTGTAGCTCATACCAACACTTTGCTATATTAAGATCATATTGACTCATTAGGTAAGAATATCACTTGTATTTCACTAATAACACTTTACCTGTTGCTTTAGTTGTTCAAGCACAGGCTTTTGCCCATTTACTCCTTCTAACCCTTCTGTGACATGGGATATCTCTAAGACAACAAATTTTGCTACAGAATAATTCATAGCCAAGATTAATCATCCAGAATTTCACTGTTATAAGGAATAGCAGAATTAGACCAAATATAAAGACTTCATGAACAATATAGAAGTTTCTGAAATCAGAAACTTTCTTCTAAAAAGTTATTTTAAAAGCTGACATTTAAATTTCAAACCAAAGCTGAGTGTTTTCTTACATCGATACCACTTCAAATCGACCTCAAGAAATTCACAGCTTTTGAATACCAGCTTTCCTACAAGAGGGTTCTTGATCCTCAACATGACAGTTCTCTGCAACTGATCAAGTACAATGTTTTGTCTCCATTCTAACTAAGCTATTGGCCTGTAATTCACACTAATCCCACAGTGCACTGATGGATGAACTATTAGGTCAAATCAAACACGAATTTCATACACACAGTTCTGCTGCAGTTGGTAAAACACAGTAGAGAAGCCAAGAAAACAATTCCATCATAATAAAGTTCTCATCTCTCTAAAATAAAAAATTATGCAAAAAGTGTTGGTGCCCTCAGGCATTGATTGCATTGGAGACTCCTTCTGAAACTGTCACGGGAGGTGTGAGTGGAGCAGGGTGAAAGTAGAGGGAACAAACATCATTCCACCCCATCCCATGAGATAGAATCTCATCCAAAGGTGTAAGGCTCACCAGCATAGAAGCAAAGAATAGTCTGGGTTAAAAGGTACCTTTAAAGGTCACCCAGTCCAACACCCTGCAATGGGCACGAACACCTTCAGCTACACCAGGATGTCAGAGCCCTGTCCAACCCGGCCTTGAATGTTTCCACAGACAGAACATCTACCACCTGTGTCAGTGTTTCACCACTCTCATCATAAAAACTTTCTTCCTTATATCTAGTCTAAATCTACTTTAAGATATTCTAAAGAATAATAACAAAACCAAATATGTAATATGTAAAACCTCCTGAAAAATCATTTGATGCCTTGGCAGACTACCCTGACGCTATCACAAAGTTCTACCTATACATAAACAGCCTTTCTGATGTCAATGAAGGTTATAAGAGTAATTGTTTGCTATGTATTGTGGTTTAACCACAGCTGGAAACTAAGTAACACACAGCTGCTCAGTCACTTCCCCCAATATCTACAACGAGCAGGATGTTCCATGCTATGGAAAATCCCTCTGGCCAGTTCGGGTCAGCTGTTCCGGCTCTCAGCTTCTTGTGCACCTGCTCACTGGCAGAACATGAGAATCTGACAAGTCCTGGACTTCAGGTAAGCACTGCCCAGCACCAACCAAGATGTGTCTGTGTTATCAACATTATTTTCATACTAAATCCAAAACACAGCACTGCACCAGCCACCAGGAAGAAAATCAACTTTATCCCAGCCAAAACCAGGAGACTCCTGTTGATGTCCTAGCTTAACATAGAAGTGCATAATTAAGTTTTGCTTATAATATTAATCTTGTGAAGGAAAAAGAAGAAAAAGAAGTAAGACCTTGCAGAAGACAGTATATCTTAAGCAAGCTTAGTTTATAATTCAGAGATATAACAAAACTAGTAAGAATCTATCATATTAGCAAACTAAAACTTTCTTTACAAAAACAAATAGAACTGCACTCTGGAGACCATACAGCATAACAAACAGTAATTCTTCATCTTTATTGTCCATTTCAGAGCATAATGATTGAGTAAAATAGAGTATAATAATAATGAGCTACAATTTAGAGAATAACAAAAGCAACACAGCACTCTTGCTTCCCCTTCTGTCTAATCTTGCAAGGTTTTCTCTGCATTGCAATCAAAAAACAACTGACCATTTTTCATTAAAAAACCCAGGCCATTGGATCATGAGCATCCTATCCAAGGCTGCAGTAGGGAACCTGCTTAGATGGCAGAGTAGCAGGATTCTTTCCCAGGCTGTTAATGGCTCCAGAGCCGCTCCCTGCAGCACAGGTTCAATGGAGGTGTGTGCAGTGCCGTGCTTGGTTTGCTAGGATGCACTTACACCTCTGGCAAGAAATTGCCCAGTTCTCGAAATTCAGGCACCAGTTAACAGCAGGATTTTGTGGTGAAGGCATTCCCACGACTTCTTAGGAAGTTCTACTGCTGTTCCAGTGGCAGAAGCAGCTGTCCTACTGGACTGTGGACATACCTGTCCCAGCTTTCTACTGAGTCTTCCCCCATTCCATAGAAACAGCACTTCATTCAAATATCTCATCCTCTGCTACCACCAAAAATCTTATGTCACCTTCTGGATCTCTTGTCCCCCGAAATTTTGGCTCGTCCATATAACACTTGTCATCAGCTGCAAATCAGCTTCACATTCAATGGCTCTGTTCCTTCTTCATGATGAAAATCAAAGGTCCCAATGGTAGAGTGATGAGCAGCAAAGTAGAATTGAGGCTTGGGAATGTTGTTGATAAATCCTATTTCCTTACCAAAAGGACAGAAAAAATATACTCATTAGCAATTTAAACCTATGTGAGAAAACTGTTATCCCCTATGTCCATCAGGTTTTTTTTCAGGTAGGCACAATGCCAGCAAGTAGCACTTCAATTATTTCCTGGCATTTCCAGAATCTGTATCTCTAAAGGATGCCCTAACACAAGTGTCCCTCACAACTGACATGCAGTGAAGCGGGGCATACAAAGATGATGCAAATCTGTCCAAGTAACATGGGAACTAGAAAGGAACTATCAATATTCAAACTGCAGATACAACACCATGTTTATGCTTTTCACAATTTCAGCTTTCTGCAGTTGAAATGAATTTTTAGGAAATACAACAGAACTTTACCACAAGAGATATTTTTGTATCTAAATTGCTCACTATGTGTATAATAAAGAATATCACTTGATTGTTCTGAAGCTCAGAATGTATTCAGATGGTGTCACACTTAACTAATGTTCCCACTGATGTTTTACTTTGTAGAAATTGTTATTACTGAAATCTCATCTATTTTGGCAGTGATAAAGCACACTGGAGATTGGCACCTTATTTTGAGTTGGTAACTAATGCTGAACAATGGACTAAGTTGCTGAGGATGATGCTTTTATAAGACAGTTAACCAAACTGTCTCTGATCATGGCATGACAAGATTATACAGATTATACTCTTTATGGATGCTATTAGAAAGAAGGTAATTTTTTTTCCTGAACTAGTTGAAGTGGAAACAAGGTCTTTTAAAACTCTCACAACCTCCCATGGTAATTGACAGATTTTGTCTAATACCCTTTCTTCTCAGAAAATATAATAAAGGTTTAATACGTTCATTTTACAATTGCAAACCTACTCTACTCTCCAAACCCACAAAGTAGAAGGGGAAGATCATTCGTTACACTGTCAAACTGATGAACAGTTAATGTTTCTCAGTAAATTTCTTGTGCTTTCCTTTGCAACAGCTGATACTGGTAACTGCTGCAATGTTTTGTTCAGGGTGGGTGTACTAAGGAAGACAAGTCATAGTAAGAGCTGCAAATGCCCTTTCTCCACATCCCTGTTATCACTGCTCAAACCATGTGATGCACCAGCAGCTGAGCAGCTGCAGAGCTGCTCCATCCAAATCCCAGTTGCAATTCAATATTGGCACTGAAATCAACTGTGTTTCTGCAGCAAAGACTTAGCTTTAAAGCGTTAAGAGGCTCCTGACCACGTGCAAAAAAGAGAGGCTTGATTTTGAAATTCATATTAGGTCACAGTATATTCATGTTTGGGAAAAAATGGAACACGTAGGTTTGAAATGCCTTTGCAGCAGCTGTAGGTCAGACAGAAGAGCAGACTTGGTGATTCAGAGCACACTAAGCTGTGTGATCAACATCACCCCCCAGAATTACTGCAGGCTGGTGGCAGTGACACACACCAGAATGCAACCCACGCCATTTCTGCACGTACATTCCACACGGATTCTGGCATATTGGATACAGGCTTGCTTTTCAAGGGAAAAAAAATAACTATTAATAATAACTAGAAGAAAATAAAAACATACAGAAAATAGTAAAACTCATAATTTTATACCAGAGGAGATGTGGTTTTTTCATGGAAGAAGCCTTGGATACTCCTATGGAATACTGCAGAAAGGTTAAGAAAATTAGTTTTGTATGTCAACATGAGGTGAAAGGTATTAATGAGAAGAAAGGTGTGTGTGGAATTATTTTTTTATTACTATACTTTGGCAGGAAGGCTTAAACATTAATTCAATTCCAGCAAATGGATGGGCCCTAAACAATTGCGTATTATTACCAAAACAGCAGGCAATTAAAACAGTTACAAATTCAAAAATAAGTAAAATTAATGATTGGAATATTTAATTAGATAAGG